GGCGTTTGGCCGGGCAGTCCTCGCTGCCGTGCCTGTGTTTCTGGTCCTCCACCCACACGTGGGAGGGAGGTTTCTCCCTGTAATCCACTGGTAGCCCCCAGAAGTAAATATCCCATTCTTTTTTGTACACTGAGGACAGACTCAGCCTGAGGTTGAGTCTCAGCGTTAGGGAAATACAAAGCGATCTCCTGGCCGAGCACTGATCAGAAGGTTGTTCTTACACAAAGCAAACAAGACAGTGTGAAAACACTTAAAGCAGTGTGTTACAAACTTCTTAGTCTGGATCTGTGAAATCCATTTTTTCAGTGAGGAGTGGAGCTTACAGTTTCCAAAGCCAGATCACTGCCTGCCTGTTTCTCTGTGGGTCATCCACGTCTCCTACCTGAATTTTAATTCCCTTCCCCTTACTTTCCAAGTATTATCCTGTACAACAGAGCAAAGGCTGTATTAGTTTCTCTTGCACAGCATAGCTCCTATGTTTGTATGCCCTAGCTTCTCGAGTTGGATGTGTTTAAGTGTAACCTTTTGCTTTTAGGTACGAGCAAGAGGTTTTTAGGATTTCACAGAAGATTTTGTATTTCTAGCATGCTTGGCAGCTGTTTGCTACAGTCGTGCATTGAGGCCTCTACAGAAATTGGTAGACTCATCCCTGACTCTAAGAACTTACAAATGAGGTGCAGAAACCAGACAACCTCCTCTTCCTCAAGCTACTCTTGCTTGAAGTCACCCGAAACAGCAGTGAGTGTGAGGGCCAGGGCTGTGCCCCGTATCTCTTCAACTCTCGTGACCCATCTTGCATGCTGGGGCACGACGCTACTGACTGGTGACTGCTTTCGGTTACATATCTGTTTCCAGAATAGCACCACATTTATAAAAAAAGAGGAAACAGTAACTGTTTATCCTGGCTAAGCTTGTGTAACAGGTTTTCATGTGATGTTTTTAGTGTTTAAAGTCTTTTTTCATTAAACTGTTTCAGTATCCAAAAAAACCCATTTCTCTTACTCAGCTTCATTAGTTATAGGAAATCACCGGATTAAAGTAGAGAGCAGATTAGCAAAAAATAAACTGTAGTAGGTCACGGGCATATGGTACCGCGTATGAACGGGTTTTAACTACTTAACCATGTATAACAAAGAGCAGAAGGAGAGATTTGTCTTAGCGTGCAATAATTATAATTTGCAGTAGCTGCATAGCTTAACAGTCAGAAACCACAAAGCCATGGAAAACTTTCGGTTAGGCTTTGCATGGGGTGTGCGCGCCTGTCCCCGAGCTCACGTCCCGTTTTCTGCCAGCTGACGGCCGGGCACGAGACTGGGCTTAGCTAATTAACAGGATGCCTCTCCCTCCTTTCCCTTCCTCTGCGCTGGGCTCACGGTTTGCAGCACGGGTTGGTGTGGGTTACAGAGACCGGGATTTAACCCGTCGGACACGGGAGCCGGTGCTGGTCCAGGCACGCAGCTCCATGGCACGGGCCCGAGGGGAGGAACGCCGTGGGCAAGCCCGTGACAGCCTGGGCTTTGCCTCAGCTGGAAATTGTCCCCTGCCGAGCAAATAAACAGAACTAGTAAATAAAAGAGGCCACAGTGTCAGGGTGATTGCTGGGGAGCATCAGCCTTCAGGCTCTGGGCACAGGCAGAGCGATACGGCCAGCTTTGAATCCAAATGACTCTGCAGTTTCTAGCTTCCTCCTTTTTTTTGCCTCATAGCCATCATTCCCCTCTGATACTTCAACCTGCAGAAGTCAAATTTATGCCTTCTCTAAATAGACCCAGCTCACACTGGTTTGGACTTGGTCCTGAGACACAAGTCAGTGCAAAGACTGGGAACATCCTGCTGCTCCGCCTCCCACTCCTCAGGAAAACGATGCTTTTCCATTTGGGTGCTGGGAGGTTTCTGAAAACCAAGCAGTGGGGATGACATCATTTCCATGTCTTAAAAAACCTGCTTATAAAGGGATATAAAGATTTGCAAAGCCAACCAAATCTAATTTCTAAAGTGACTTCAGAAATACCTGGAGAATTACCTGGTCTTTATCTGGGCTCCTCAGGGCGTTTGCTAGCACAGATTAACCAGTAATGCCACGCCACAGAGCTTACACATCCAGGTCCTTCCCTTTTCGGGGGGTTGCTTTCCTCTGAGGTTTCCACAATGTGTTTCACATCCACTGTGAGTAACATTCTTGGACTTCTGCCCTGGATTAATCAAACATAAATCATTGCCCCATGCAAAAAGAAAGTTTTGCCAAAAATTGTGGTGGTCCAGAGAAGAAAAGAGGGTTTTCTTTTCTCTCTGTGAACTTTTAACTAACTTTGTTCCTTTTTTTCTTTGGTGGGAAATTTTACGCATTGAAAAATTCACTGACAAAGTCCTGATCATCTTGGGGGTTTAGTGATTATTATGAAAAATAAAATCCCCAGCTGCTCGGGAGAATATTCTTGCTTTCTCCTAAATTAGTTTTGTAGTGGTCAGCCCTGCCAAACTTGCAGGCTTTGTGTTTAGCTTATCGCTAATTCAGCGTTGCTTCTCTTGCAGAGTTCCCTGAAGAGAAGAGGCAGCAGAGAAATGCACAAAGAAAAAAAGGCATTTACGCAGGTACGGTTTTCACAAACGTGTGTTTTTGAGCAAAGTCACATGATAAACCTCAAAGTTTCTTTTTACGGGTGTTGACAGGACCATCAGGCACATTAACTAGAGTGCAATTAGGCCTTAATCTACTGAGACCTCCCAGAGATCATGTAGAAGGAATTTAGGACACCAGTGCTATCTCTAAACCGTGCAGCTTCTTGGGCTTGTTGTACTCGTATTCACAGAATCAGGCTGCGAGTTTTCTACAAGAAGAGAAAATCACCTTGCCTCACAAAGTAATTGGACCGCAGCTTAGGGACTAACTAAATTTATACGCGGTGCCAGGGATTTTGTGCTAATGAGCATCTTGGCAGGGAATGCAGTTCACACGCTACAACGACACCTCGCGAGCTCCCGCGTTGCAGCCCCGGGTTCCATCTCTCCCTGGTGTCGGGGGGCAGCTCGTGAACTTGTGCTCCCCCCAAGCTGAGATACAACACAGAGCCTAAGCTACCCACTCCGTCTCCCTTTGGACACCGGTTTTATTGAAATCCTGTAGGCTGATCCTTCTCAGGAAAGCGGTCTGCCCAGTTTCCTCTGCTTTTTGTGCCGACTGTAGGAGTTAAAGCTTTTCCCGGCAACCGTATGGTTGCTGTTTATAGCCGGAGAGATGAGGATAGTGTTTCACCTCGCTGCGAAAGGAGCCAAGAGCGACATCATGCCTTCGTTAGAGAAAGGTCGCACCTCCCCTTCTGCCCCTTCGGCAGGCTCAGAGTTCGCAGCCCAGACCTACGGGTTGTCTCTGAGTCAGTGGAGTCTTAAAATCCATTGATTTGTAATAACAACGATAATAAATCATTACAATATGTTACACTTGAGCGGGTAGGGCGGGCAGCTGAGTGGGCAGAGCAGGGGCTTGTGGTGGCCGGGGCTGCAGCCTGCTTTCCCGGGACACAGCAGACTGAGCATCCCCACTGAGCCGATAGAAGCACGGCTTAATCAGACCTTAAAATGGGGCACTGGGCTTTCTTCCTGCAGCACCTGCTATGGAGAATTAAGTCATCAGTTAGGTCAGGCAGTTTATTTTTCTGCAAGTCTGTAAAATACATGGATGAAACATATGTGTATATATATATATACACACACACGCCCGCACACATGCAGATTACAGCTGAAGCTACATGCAGGCATGGCTGGGTCCAGTGGGGTTTCTGGGCAGCACTGACCTTCCTTTCCTCATTACTGGAAATACAGAGCAGTGCAGAGGGAATGGATTCCTTGTGCTTGCTTCCTTGGCCCAAATCCAGGCATTAAGAGTAGTTTGCCTTGGAAAGCCTAAAGAAGGACTTAACAGAATTAACCGAGTAACCATGGGTCAGGTCTGCACCACTCACAACATGGGGAAGTCATCCTGGAAACCACTCAGGGGAAAAAACCCTTTATGCTGCACACGCACGTTGTAACTCGTGCAAGCAAAGGATTTGGGCTTGAAAACGAAAACCGTTGCAACGGCAGTGTGCAAGGTGGCCGTTCAGTTTTCTTCAGCAATTCTTTAAGGTAGGAAGGCTGAGAAACAGCCTTCTATACAGGCATGGCCCAGCTACAGGTGCACGTCCTTGCTGTCCCCCAACTCCAGGGTGTCACCCAGGGCTGTCTCCAAAGCCGGGTACCCACTCAGGGGTACGTGCTGGCTGAGAGCGGCACGCACCACAGCGAGTGCCTGGCCTGGTCCAACAGCCGTCAGTTGTGGGCATGGCCCAAAGGGACAGGGACGGACACAGCCCGGGAGGTTCAAAACGCTGCTCTTCAGGCACAGCCGCCCAAAATACCTAAAATAAGTTCAGATACTCATTACATGTTTTGTGAGTGAAAAGCAACCACAAACTTAGATTCTCTGCATCCGCACACTTACAGATATGTGTAGCATGTGCCAAGACTGGTGTTTTAACTTAGGAAGAGCACATCATGAAAATTAGCTGGAACATTGCACCCAACACAGGGCACACCAAGTAAATAATACCTATGAAACTGATTGTCTCGAGGTCATGTAAAAGCAGAATTCGTAGTAGCACTTACCCACCTCTAGCCGTATTGAAGAAAAAAAGTTTTTATTCAGCAGAATTGCAAAACGGAGCTTCTTGGAAAATACCAGGCACCAGGCAAAACACAAAGAAAAGTGGTTCTCCAGCGCAAGGTAGGAGTGCTGGCATTCAGCCGGGTGCTTGGGTGCTGGTCGTACCGCCCTGTCGTCAGACTTGCAACCCCAAAACTGCTTACCCATCTTCTGCCTGGCAGCTCCCTGGAGCCGGTGGTGGTGGTGGAGGAGATGGCGTTGGTCTCTATCTATCTTTGTGTCTTCTTGCCAGAAAAGAAATATCATATTTGGGAATTTTTGATCAGCTCTTCATTCTCATCATATCATTTACATTGCATAATGAATTTAAGTTCATTTCTTTCCTTTAAGTTTTCGTTTCTTTATCTTCACATTCTACATTTGTCTAAATTAGACTGCAGACTCTGTAGGGAGGGATCTAGTCATTAATTCCCATTCATCCTTAATGATCTCTTAAAGACTATGACTAGCACCATGACTGACAGAACATCGTTGCACTGTTGTTCCTTCTTTTCTTTCTATACAGTCTGTCCTACGTACACCTTTTAGTAAAGTGTCCACGTACTGGATGTGAAATGCAGTCAGGCTGTGCCATAGCCCAGCCTGCAGCCCCTGGATGCAAGCCCCTTGTTCCTCCAAAACCTTGGAAAGACTGTATTCTCCTTTTTTTTTCCCCTCTCCTTTTTTTTTTAATTTGTGATTTAACTCATAATGAACTATTCTTTATTTTGGTGATTTGGCCCCTCCTTAGTTTGCCTTGTATGTCAAAACTCTACTTGCTTATGTGGGTGTCTCGCCCTCTTGCTGTTTCTACTTGGTTTCAACTGATCAAGAAATCGCTGATATTTCTGTACACAAAGTTGCAGAGGGACAGATGCATGAAGGTTGGAGTCCTACCCTTCTGGCAAGCTTAGATCTGGCTGATAAATCTCTCCTGACTATGCTTTTCCTTTGGAAAAAAGCTGTCCGGGGAATGGGATTTTTCAGTAGTCGTGCTCCCTGGCAGAGAAACAGGGAAGATCTAGAGCTTTCTCACCTTTCCAGATGGGATCCATATTTAGTAGGCCAGATTAACATCCATCAGCTCTGTTGTTTTGTTTGAGGCTTGTGTTTGTATAATGAAAAAAATCTCATTTGTTTCAGCTCTTGCAAAAAACAAAAGTTACAAATGTGATCCTTTTTTTTTCATAGACAGAACCTGGCAGTAAAGTCGTGCCGTTGTAAGAAGTTAACAGTGGTTTTGTCCTGCTATAATAACGCGCTAACTCTGCAGATGCACTGAGTCGTGCAGTGATGCTGAGCAAAAACAGTGGGGCCCTGACCCCAAATCCATCGAAGCCTTTCCCTTTTCTTCAAAAGCTTCAAAATGCTGAGTGCGTTGTCCCAAGGGCGACTCGGTGACCGGTATTTACATTGTTGGAAAGGCAGCGGGTGTCAGGCTGGAGCCCCCATCAGAGCCCTGGGAGGGCCTGGATCCCAGCGCTGCCAGCCGGGGCAGGGGATGCAGGCAGGCTGACCTTGTTCCACAGGCATCAGTCCCACCCCACGGACATCGGTCCTGCCCCACAGTCATCAGTCCTGCCCCACGGTCATCAGTCCTGTCCCACAGGCATCGGTCCTGCCCCACGGGCATCAGCCCAGCTGCCCGCAGCCAAGGAGGTGCAAGGGAGCACTGGTGCCACTTCACTGACGGCTGGGCGCTGGCAGCTGAAGGCAGACAAGAAGCATGGGGAAGAATGCTGGATTACAAAGGCAGAATAAGGAAAAAGTCAGATGTGATTATTTCCAAGCTATTAACAGATAAATAAATAAAGTGGAGTAATCACCCCACCTGTGAGCTCTGACGTCCAGCACTGGTCTGGCTGTAACTTTCCTTGTGATCTTTGTGTTTACCTGAAAGCAAAACTTACAGCTGCAGGGATAAACTGATTCTCGATGATAGGAAAAACAGAGGTAATGTATTGTGCAGCCCTGACCAAAGACGATGCATTAGTCATACAGCCTTATCCAGCCAGAGCAACCAAAATTCAGAGTGACTTCAGTGGAGGCTGCATGGAGTCTCACCAGGTTTTAATCTGATACTTCATTTGCAGTTTTGAGTTATAAAGAGAAAAGCAATTTGCAAATAGATGCGTGAAAAAGAGGTGTGTGTATGTGAGGAGACGACAGAGAGGAAAGCAAGCCCATCTTCTAGAGGCTCTGCTTCTAACCAGTGATATGCACCTCCGTTGTATTGATAGGAAACTCACATTTCTGGTGCCAGAAACGTGATGACCAGAGTTCTAGTCAGTCAACTGATCAGCTCGACTCCTGATTATCACTGAAAAACAAGTATTAACAGAAACTTTGACTATTGTTTACCTCTATCATGTTATTAACATTTAAGATAACTTTTTTACTATTTAGTATTTTAAAAGTCCCAACCTGTGCCAAGCAGAATCGTTAAGAAAGTTGACAGTTCAGAAGTATACAACTGATTCCTTTTGTGGCTGTTTAGTTATTAATAGCTGAAATTAAGACATAATTAGTATTTATCTAAATAGAATGGGGCAAAATTAACCTAGGTAACATAAAAGACACCATTACCAATGTGCAAGGGTGTGTGCTTTAGAAATTAAATAATTTCCTCAGATTGTTGAGCCTTAATTAGTTTTGTAAATTATTTTTTTTTTAATAGCCCGATCTGGGTGAACAATTAAAGCCAGTCATGTTTTCTTCTGGATTTGGTTGCCATTATTAGGAATTATAACAAAATGATGCTTGTGAAAGATAACAGTGCTCCAGAGACTGAAATGAAGTTTCCCTAGATAATTGCACATATGTCCACATGGCCTACCAACAATGATAAAATCTGCTGTCTCAAGGGATCATCTTTTAAAGCCTGCCTTCCATTTTACTGCTGATGCTGATAAATGTGTCTCTTACGAGGCCAAGTGCCTGTATCTCCATGACAATTCATGCAAGTGATTCATGCAAAGAAATTGTTCACTGGCTTAGAATTTACTTAACCTTGTCTCTTATTTCAGCACAATACACACTGGAGTTTTCATCTGAGTTGAGATGCAGTCCTTTAAAATGCCCAGCACACACAAAAAAATCAAACTCTCATTTAATACCTTGCTGCTTCCTGAAAAATGCAGGTTTTCACATGGGATGGATTTGGATGTAACCACGATTTAATGAATTTTTCTTTCCTTTTCACATGTTTTCACCAGTCTCCCTTGTGAACAGTTGTCCGTACCAGAGACAGTGATCACAATGTGGTCCGTCCTAATAACAACAGCAGCAGAGACAACAGTGTGCTTCCTATTTGGAAAGCGAGTTTGGCATGCCGGCTATTTCACAGCATTGTCAGATCAGAGCAATTAAAGTCTTCACTTTATAACGCAACCACGCAGCTTAGCACACTTTTTTTGTGCTTTTCAGCTGAAGGAGCCCGAGATTTGGGATTCTGATGAACAAATTCATCTGAGTAGTCTATGTTTCATGATGCTAAAAGGAGCAAACGTATCATTAAACATAAATGGAACAGAAAGTGCCAACAAATCATGGAGCCTTTTTGAGTCATTATTTTCCAGAAAATGTGCTCAGTATTTGAGAAGAACTAAACATTGCGCTGGCACTCTTGCATCACTGAACACTTGCACATGCACACTTGATGGGTTTTTTCCCCTCTTTAACTCTGGTCAGACTGCTTTGCCAATTTAACCAGGACCAAGCCACGAAATGTGCCAGCCGTGTGGTTTGTGCAGCTCTGTCTGTGTGCTGTTTGCATACCTAACAGATACAGCTCAGAGGGCAGGGAGGTGGAGATTTTGGAAAATAAGCTACTGATTGTGCTTCTATTCTAACATAATCTGGGGGGGGGGGTGTGATTATTGTTGGCAGGAGGACAGTGCTGATTTGAAGTGCCAGCTCCAGTTTGCCAAAGAGGAGGCAGCGCTGATGCGTAAGAAGATGGCGAAACTGGGGAGGGAGAAGGATGAACTGGAGCAGGAGCTCCAGAAGTACAAGTCCATCTACGGAGATGTGGACAGTCCCCTGCCGACGGGGGAGGCAGGTGGCCCACCCAGCACCAGGGAAGCCGAGCTGAAGCTTCGCTTGAAGCTGGTGGAGGAGGAAGCCAACATATTGGGCAGAAAAATAGTGGAACTGGAGGTGGAGAACAGGGGGATTAAAGCTGAGATGGAGGATATGAGGTGCCAGTATGAAAAAGAGTGTCTCAGCAGGGACCACATTTCAAGCATTCCTACCTCGCCCTACGGCGACTCCGTGGAGTCGGCCACGGAGCTGCGCCGGCATCTGCAGTTTGTGGAAGAGGAAGCAGAGCTGCTGAGGCGGTCGATCTCCGAAATCGAGGATCACAACAAGCAGCTGACAAATGAATTGAACAAATTCAAGTTCGAGCCAGGCCAGGAGCCGGGCTGGTTGGATGACACGGCATCCAAGTGCGGTGGGACCTTGCAAGAGGAGCTGAAGTCAGCCAGGTTGCAAATCAATGAGCTGAGCGGGAAAGTGATGAAGCTCCAGTACGAGAACAGGGTCCTGATGTCCAATGTCCAGCGTTACGATCTTGCCTCTCACCTGGGCCTGCGCACTTCCAGCCCCAGGGACAGCGATGCTGACAGCGATGCCGGGAAGAAGGAGAGTGACAGCGAAGAGGGTCGCCTGCCCCAACCAAAAAGAGAGGGGCCCATCGGGGGCGAGAGCGACTCCGAAGAAGTTTATGAGAAGACGTCAGGTTTTGGGAGTGGGAAGCCATCGGAAGTCAGCGACCTGTGCTCTGCCGAGCTGATGAGAGTGAAAGAGGACACCAAGTCTTTAATTAACATCAAACGCGAGGCTGAGCGGCTCGAGAGGACGGTAGACCGCCTTATCACCGATACGGACAGCTTGATTTATGATGCGAAGGTGCACGTAACCAGCAGCCCATCCACTGAGCAGGATTTCAGAAGTGCTGAGGAAAGGGGAGAAGATAAACACGAACCGGAGCTTCTGGGCACAGTCAACTCCAGGATGAAAGCTTTCCGGAGGGAGCTGCAGACCTTCCTGGAGAAGGTTGATCACATTGGAGAGGGCCTTAAGGAGCAGATGGAGGACCTGTCCCCTCTTCCCCATCTCACAGAGTCTTCCAGTTTTCTATCCACAATGACGTCCATGTCCCGAGACTCTCCCATTGGTAACCTGGGGAAGGAGTTAATCACCGACTTCCAGGTATGTCGACCCCTTGTTTGCCTTCTTTCTGTTTACTCTTTCTCTCTTTTTCTGGCATCGCTACCCTAGAGCTAATTTTCCTCACAGCTGCTTTGTTATGATTTCAGACCCGCAATGTATTGAAGTATGTAATGTTAAACAAACACTTTATAGTTTTTTTTTCTTTTATTTGTTTGCACAACTCCTTTGATTCCGAGGCGGTTCCTCATGGCAAAAAGGCTAATCCACTGGTGCTATAGAGATCTGTCTTCTTTTTGTCTGTAACAGCAGTGTTTCCCTGTGAAAGAGGAGATTAATTAAAAAAAAAATAATTCTGATGAATGTAAATTAGCAGCCTTGCTAAGAAATGTGAGGAGGTCTTTATTATGCTCTCTCGTCTAAGGGTCAGGCGTGTTCTCAAAAGCCTTGCCAAAAGAACCCAACCGAATGCAGTTTTCTAAGTGATGTGTTTTGAAAAGCCTGCTTACAGCTCACTCCCCTAACCGAGCAGCGAGTGAGAAGCTCTGTAGCCAGCGAAGGACTGCCTTGCCTAAAGCGTTGCCCATGGGCGCATGTCTAAACTGCCACAACTGCCACACTGGATATGGCTTTTCTGCACAGCACAAGTAAGGAAGGAAGAGCCTTATGTCCCGTATCCTTCATGACTTGTATGCTTGCTGTTGGTTTGACTCATGCATCCTCATTGCATGCGCCTCATAACCAGTGTTTGCATTCTTTTTTCCTCTCTTTCTCTTTTTTGCTTTTCAGATGTTTCAGCCCATCATTTTGCTCATCCTCATTTTGGTTTTGTTCTCTTCACTATCTTATGCCACTGTATTTAAGTTGGTTTTTCTGTTCACGCTTTTCTTTGTCTTGTAGTTTTTCAGTCGTCTACCTTACCCATTTTGGTTTTCTTTATTCCCTCCTGTCCTTTTGTTTTTTTGTTATAAACCGCCCATGCACCTAACAGTCCAAACTGAGGGATCAGATGGAGTGGCAGCTCAAACGAGATCGTGGAGAGGAGCAAGAGATTCACCACCAGCGAGCCACCACCGACCCACACCGCAGAGCTGATGGAGACATTAAACTCTACAGGCCAGCAGACAAGGGCTGTTTCAGTCTAGAGGTCAGCAAAGCAGCCCGGCTTACTCGCTGCGTCCTGCTGCCTTAGCCAGGAGATGAGTAACAGGAGCCAGGGGCTGGGGGAGTCAATTGGACCAAACACAGCACCCCTCTTGTGAAATTTGTGGTTGACCTCTTTTCCCCCTTGCAGTTTCAGGGAAGCAATCAGTCCTGACTTTGGACTCATCACCCTGCTCCCAGTAGCTTCGCTAAGTGGGAAAATACGGCTCAGGGACCCACTGCAATTGAGTCTAGTGATGAAAGATCTCTGGAAGGGGTTGTAAGCCCCGATGTGAGATCATGCTTTCAGGTTTCACCTTGTTGGATATTTTAAATCTGGAAAGTCTACAGATAGAGATGGCTTTGCGTTTTGCCTGGCAGTAGTCTGTGCAGGAGAGGGTTTGATGCTGATGTGCACGGTGATTCTCAACAGGGAACACAGCACCCTGCAGCTTCCAAAAAAACTTATTTAAAGCAGAATTCTCCATTGTTTGGGTTGTTCGGTACTTTTCCATTCATGAAAAACATTGATCAGTTTTTATTTAAATCTTCATCCATGCAGAGGCCATATTCGCCTCAGTAAACATCTCCTTAGCTGCTTCCTCATGAACGTAGGTTGTCCAGCTACTACAACTGGTCCTGAAGAAGACAATTTCTAATCTGTCTCCATAAATACTCGGAGCATTGAAAAAGTTTTCTGCTGGACACTGGGAAGCCAAATCCACCTTGAAACTGTGGTGGTTAGAGTAGCTTCTAGTGAGGGAAGAGTTTTAATATGTTTAATTCTAAAGACACATATCTAAAGACACATATAGTATATCTGAAACTCCTACTTGAGTCTGGGAAAAGGAGGATATGCTGGCTGGGACAGCTGGGTTTGTGCGTAGGTGATAAGCACTAGAAAGCAGGGGTAGGAAGAAAAAGCTTCGGGGCGGCTGGTAGCCAAGCAGCACGATGCTGTATTGAATATCAAAGGGAGAGTGGCCCTTCATCTTAACACAGGTAATTCTTTGCTGGTTTTGTTTTGTTTGTTTTGAATTATCCTGACAATACAGAGTTTTGGTAGTAGTAGAATAATTAATTTGTTCAGCAGCTTCTCTTCCAACTTTTCACTTTTACCAGTGATAATAAACCTCAGGAAGGATATCTGATAAACCCAGGACACCATGAGTTTCTCACTGAAAGGTAAAGTCTTTCTTCCTCAGCTGTGAAGTGGGCTGATGAGGTAGAGAAACCTTGCCATTCAGCATGGATCCTTTTGCAATTGTATTGGTCAACAGTTATGGTAGATTAGGTCAGAGAATGACCTCAGGAAATGTTTACAATATTTGTTTAAATTCGATCAGCCCTGTATATGTGAGCCCTCTATTAAGATTAGGGATTTGGGTAATTTTGGCGCAAGATCTTTTTTCCTCTCTCAGGATGGGATGATGTGTAAACTGTGTACAGCAAACTGTGTTTGAACAGAGGATGGATAGTTTTCACACCATAGCCTGACAAGGAGCAAGCCAGTAATGATAATCAAAGGTAGAGAATAGCCAGCTTAGGTCCAGATGTGCTCAAAAGATGGGCATGGCTGGGGCTCAAAGGACCTAATTTGAGAAAAAGTTGAAGACTAAGGTGTTGGTTTCAGTCAGGTTTACTTCAGCAGCAAAGAATATTACGCTGCTTTACGCGGAAACTTTTCAGTGGGTGAGCAGACAATTGAAATCTCATAATCTGTAATAGTCAAACCCAAGCAAAGCAGAAGATTCCTCCAAATAATTTTGTATGGTATCATTTCTAGTCTTTTCTTTTTTGATTTCATACACTGCACTAGCAAAAACTACCGGTTTTTTGTGCCAGATGAATGAGCAGGAAAAAATATTATTCAAATACCAAGGGGTATTTTTTGTTACCACAGAAATTTGAGATGGAGACTCAAGTCTTTCAATGCTCACAGCAGAGGTGGCTACACATAAGCTGTTATCTGCTTCAACTTATGAAGTGAAAATACACGCACTGGCCAGTGGATAACGTTGATTGATGATCTTCTTACTGCGTATGGACTTTCAGCATGAGAACAACACATTTCGTTTCAGTGAGGCAAATGTTTTCTTTTCAAGCAAGCAAACCCATTTTTCTAAATTAATTTTCACCAAGCTGAGTTTTAAATGACAATTTTCTCAAGCAATGCTGAACAGCTTCTATTTAGCTATTTCTCCTGTTTTTAAAAATGAATATCGTGGGAGCCTAATTGTTTGATTAAATACAATAAATGCAGACTGACTTGTGCTTGAAACTATCCCGTAGCCTAACCGTAAACATCTGCCCTTCTTTGGGCTTTGCGCTGCAGTTGTTAGTGCAACAGTATTATTAGAATGCATTTGCATGTTAAAGAGGTGGGTTAGAGTCACAGTCCAAGGGAAATTATATCTTGAAATTGCCTTAAGAGCAGGCCTTTGTTTTCTCGCTGAAACAAGCCATTCAGCTGCTGTTGCGGGAGGCTGGAGCCCATTGGGGTGGATGTTCGATCCATTATTCATGATTTTAGCAGGGCCGGGTTATGGTGAGAGGGAGAAATCATTCTTTACCATCCAAAGAAAAAGCGAGTGAACAAGTGAGAATTGCCCTGACTAACAGACATGGAGGAACTACAAAACATAACACAACGCTTCATGGAGCAAACGCCCAGCACAAATCAAAGGATTGCTATGGCAACAAATGGGAACCAGTGGGAAAAATGGTAAATAATTTTTCATCTGGTGAATTTTACCCTTTTTACTCATGGCATATCTATAAACAAAAGGCAGTCCTTAAGCAGTCTCGTCCTGTTTATTCAGAAACAAGAAGAAATTCCGGAGAAGAAAAAATTTCACTCTTTCAAATGACCAAATTTAGTTTGTTGCAGTATTTGATACCTGACGCTCTAAAATGGAGCTGTAGCTCCTAGCTCTGATTGTTTCCTTCAGAGGTTATCCGTTCTGCCCTTACCCCAGTACGTATGTATCACCAAAGGCAACAGCACTCATCTTTGCATTTCAGATTTGGATTCTTTTCATACATGGCTTTTAAAGACTTACACATTTGTCTCTGTGTAGAAAAACGCCACAAAATCTCTGACACTCCCAGGTTATGGAAAACAAACCACTGAAGAAAATTGACTTAAAAGGAACAAGTTATCACCAGAGAATTAAAATAAAAGCAGATAGGCTAGAGAAAGTGAGAGCATGTCTTAAAAAGCAAGTCTTCCCAAGGTCGAGTAATAAAGCAGGAGGAGCTCACACTGAAGAATAATTTCTTCTAGACCGTTCTTAATCTGTTTATCCATTTTCCTCACTTGTCATGTCTGTAAGAAATATAAAACATCTCTATTGCTCTAAGTTAGTACCTGGGTTAAGTGTGGACCAACTAGATACAGTGATGTTAGGTAAGTCACTTTACCACCTGCTTTGAATCAAAACTTCTGTATGGATCCATTTTGGACATACGAGGAGAATTTGGGTCTGTATTTTGAATGTTCTATTTTTAGCTGGTTTTGGAGTGTCTGTGCTCCTTCTGTGCAATTTTCGTAGTTCCACTTGAGAGCTTCTCAGCTGGATAGCTTTTGCAGCAGCTCCCAGCCATGTGCTGAAAATTTACACATCCTTTTCTCTTGCCCTTATTTAAGATTTTGTTTTCCCAGAAAGGAAACAGTGAGTGTTTTATACATTGTCACTTTCCTTTCTTCTGGGAAAAAACCCCACAGCAACGAATGAGGGCCACATAGAAAGTTGTATCTCTTAGTGTCCACTATTCCTCCCATGCAAAGTTGTGGGAAGAAGAAAGACAAACTGGTGCTGACAGTATTCCTTCCCACCAAGATTAGGGGCAGCAAGAATAAGTTACTTTGATGAATTGTATTCTTTCTTGCTCTGCAAGATTCCATAAAGGTTGGCAATATAATGGCTTAAAAGACCCTTTATGATGTAAATCTGGATATCCCAGTCCTAACTGAACTTGGTGAGACTTTGTGTACTACCCATACAATGAGATGGATTTTTAAAGACTTGAAGCAAAGTGTTCTGTGTTTTCCCAAAATGAGAGACTCTCCATATGAGCACAGACAAATAACCACACAACTGCCTGTTGTACATGAGCAAATAGATGTCATTTATTTTTAAGGGGCGAGGAGAAGAGTACATCTTCAGAAGCAGCCTCTGAGAATTCAGTTAGATGTGTATTGTATGTAAGAAGTAATACAAAAGGCACTGGAAGTTTCTGATCTGGTTGATTGTATGCATCCAGTGGTCAGCTGTCAAGTGTGAAAAAGGAACAGTTATGGTAAACTGCATGGTCAAATGTGAGGTCCAAATATCAAAGCATTATAACATAGCATTAGGGGGGCGGCATAAAGTGTTCTTCTTTTGGCTTCTTTGCTATTGCCCATAAATGCTGGTGGGCACCTGTCTGCCCTGGCTCCTCAGGCCATCCCTCCTGAAAAAAAAAAAAAGAGACTAAAAAGAAAGATTCCATGAAATTTGATGTTCACAGTTGTTGCATATAAACTGATTAGGTTTGCAGGCAAATTGAGATTGTAATTGGCTGTGGTAAAATGGAGAAAATATAGAAGTAAAACCCAGCCGTGGATGGTGGATGGCAGTCACGTAAGAACAAGTCATGGCAGGAATGTGGGGTTGTGTGAGCTGGAAAGTAACCTGCAAAGCCGTCGGCACGCTGAGAGGGGCAGAAAGGGGTCGGTGCAAGGAGGGAGCGGAGCGGTGGTGAAGCCCCCAGAGCGTGGATAACTGTTCTCTGCATATCCTCCTGAGGTAAAGACATCGGCGTGGATTAACTTGTTCTGGCGTGATAACAGGTGAGAGAAAACGGCTCAGCAGAAGGATGTGGCACTGCCTGTCCGAGAGGACAGGGGTGGAAGCGGATCTGGAAATGCCGTAATTGGGATAGATGGGAAAGTGTCAGTCGGTGTCGCGCTGCGGATGAAGTGCAGGTGTTTCTCTGGCGCTGTGGTGGAGTAGCACTAGCTTGTAGCTGCCGTCATACTGTGTTTGTATGTCTCGCTGGAGTGAGTTTGTGCCTGTTGCTGTGGTGTCGGTGGGTTGTGTGGTGTCGGTCACATCCCGGGTGTTTTCTGTTCCTCCTGTAGCGCATTCCTTAGTGAGAACAAAGGAAACAAAGAATGGAAGTTAACAGGTTCTCAACTTTTGTGTCCGTTTTGTAGCAGTGTTGTTTTCCAAACCAAACCAAAACAAAACAAAACCACAGTTGTGCCACAGACTACGCCCTGCTGATGGTATGATAGGGGCCTGATTTCCACATATGAACATATAGATGGCCATCAGTGCAACTGCAGGTTCCTGAACTGCATATACAAATACCACATGATAAATCCCTGCATATTCTTCATTCACGATCCAGATGTTTAGCGGCAATCTATTAGGTGCTTAAGCAGCCTTATCTCTTCATTTGAGCCGTACAAATCCCAGTGGTTCTGGTTGCGATTACATTATATGAAATTATAGACTATGAAGAGTCCTCAGGTTGCATTGGAAGGAGAAAGGTGTGCGGCTCTGCATTCATGCATTAACTGCTTTTCGCCACATTTACTTTACCACTTATAAAAAATCTACCATCCTTAAAGAGGCAAAGCAATTGTAAAAAGATTTGCAGTGTCTAGTGTGCGTGTAATAGTCTATCTGCCTTTATGATGTGTTTAATCTTTTCTTAGGAATTCCAGCAGTTATCACATGATCCCAGTGCCCAAGTTTCCGGAACCTTGGCTTTGCATGGGCTACATGTTTCTAAAAAAATTGCATGAGTTGTTAATCATTTTCTTGCCCTAATTTTGCAGACATAAGGTGATGTCGCTATGTATGTAACTGTGTGATTCCAATGAATACAAGTCTGAAGGAGAACAAATGATCTTTTAGGAAATCATTGGAAAACACAAGTGTGAGGTGAATAGTGAAAAATTCACACCTTACCTTCCTGGTAATTTTTGCTGCTCTGATTCAGCTTCCAGTTTCAGGAATCCCGAGACTGATAATATCTCTAACCATCTAAATGTGTAATTGTATGACTGTAAGGAGAGGCTTATTAAGATCAGTGATTATTACCAACAGAAGAACATTGCAATGTTTTCACCAGATCAACTTTGCATGATTTTTGGCTGATTTTGAATTCATAAAAAGAAGGAACACACATGTTTTTTTAATTACACCTGAATTAACTAGGTACATCAGTTCTTGTTTGCCATATTCCTAAAGAAGCCTGATCAGAATAAAAGTATGCCGAAATTTCTGATGAAAATAATTTTTCCTTTATTAGATGAGAAAATGAAACTGATGATTTACAAATGATGGTGCAAAACTGGCAAAACCCATTTCAAGGAGTTCTTTCCAAATTATTTGTGAGATCGAATTTTGGCCTTGTGGAATACAAAATGTCTGCAGAGAGGTTAAGGCATGAGATGAAATGGATAAGGCAGCTAATGTTCTCCTGGTCACTCTATGTGCACCTTTCAGGGAGCTGGAAGTGTCTTTTCCTCAGGCACAAAACAGACGTGCACAAGTCAATACGTGAATCAAGTACAGAAGGAACCGATAGGGCCCAGAAAGTATACAGAGGGTGGCTTTCGTTCTGCAGCGGAGTGCGGTCCTGCGGGTGCTTTACGGGGTACTTCCCCCTGCCTTGCTTCTTCTTCCCTGGAGGAGGAAAGAGCGTCTGTGACAGTGACAAAGACTTTTTGAACAACCGAAGTGTCCCAGCAGGGGCTGCTGCGGCCCCCACGGGAGCAGCCAGCTTTGCTCTCGGGAAGCGGGGAGAGAGCCCGAGGAGAGGAGACAGGTGCTGGGGCTGGTGCCGGAGGGGACACGGCGAGGCAGCCCCACCAGCGGTCCCACAACCTACCCGACGTCCTTGCTGCTGAGGTTGGAGCGCGCTAGACGTCAGCCAGCAGGGAATTTGGGATTATGCTTTGAAGCCTGAAGTGATCCCTTCTTTAAATGCATCTTTACTCTGGGAAGTAGGAGTTCGGTGCCATAGGGTTTTCTGTGGTCACGCTTCTGAAGAGGACGGCATCTGGCCGGGCATCTGGCCTCTGTACAGACAAATCAGTTTTAGCTCCAATGTGACAGACCCAAAATGAAGGGCATGGAAAGTTCTAATCAGGAATGTAAGTGCCACAAGATTAATTAACATAGTATAAATAATGAGGTCTGACTCTGCCTTCTTGGGTCTTTATTTTTGAATTAAGGAAGCTTCAGAAGTAAAGTGGATGGGATGCCAAACTTAATGAGAACATAAAATTGAAAGTATTAAGATTAAAATAGTGTTGTACCTGGAAAGGGAGATACTTCAGCATTTTGGGCAGATCTCAAGCTCACACAGCTTATCACCGTGACTTTTGTGGAGTAATTGCTTTGAGTAGGAATCGCGGAATGAAGTCAACTTGTGCAGAGACCTGTCCTGTGTCTGAAGAAAGGGACCTTATATGTTTAGTTGGTTTAATAAATGCTATCCCATTAACTGCCTGATCAGAAGTGTTGCAAATGAATAAATAATTGGGTTCAATATATGTGCCTTAGCTGCATCTTCTGCAGAGATGTTAAAATTGTATAGCTTTGATTATCATGAAGAAATATGCCACCAAATATGTAATCCTGTAAATATGAGCTCATCTGGCAAACGTCATTGATGGTGCCCTGTCCTGGCTACTGGAGTGCAGACCCAGAGCAGCGGCCTGAAGGGAATATCCAGCAAGGAACATCAGCATCCCAGCTTTAGTTTTCAGAAGAAGTCACACAGGAAATTCCCACACATCTTTAGGGCATTGCTGTTTATTTGCACACTGTGCTTTGTTTTTAACTATTGATAACCGTCAGTCATGCAGATGTCTGTCCTGCAGTTCTTTTCTTTTTTCCTTTTTTTTTTTATTTTACACCATGGAGCCACATTTTCTGCTAAACCTACCCCTCTGTCCTGCTGATCAGCTCAGGGATTCCCATGTTTTACCTGTACAGAATGTATCGATACAGGAGCTTCAGGCTCAGCTTGAGCAGGAGACGAGACTTCACCGAGAGGAGCAAGAAAAGTTTGCAGAAAAGATCATCCAGGTAAATACAAAACCGGCCTGCTGGGAGAGACGCGTGACCATGAGATGTGGCGTGGACCTTGTTTGTCAGGACCAGGGGGACTTGTGTCCTGATGGCTGTGCCTGTTTGACTGCATCTGAGTAAATGAAGACTCTGGAAGCTGGGGAAATGTAAACTCAAACCTATTTTGCCACTTTGAATTTGGCTTCTCTGCTTGGGGGAGAGAAGTTTTGTCCTCCCCTGTGCAGGGGAAGTCGAGGCAGAGACGTGAAATACTGCATGGGGAATTTCATCGGCCCCTTCAGCGCTCTGTGAGCTGGGGAAGGGTGCGTTTGATCTCTGGGAGCACAGTTTGGCTCTGTGCCTCACTCTGACCCCTCCGAGCCCAAAGAAAATCCAAGACTTCACTGAAGTCAGAGTTGTTGTTACACACTCATAACTGAGACCCAAATCAGGACTTTTTTGTATTTCTCAGTATCCCATGCTTCCAACCCTCTTATTCATAACGGGTGAATAAATCACATTTTGTTACATGGGCTCCCCCTGCTCTTTTGAAGGCTGGAACAGATTAGGCCATCATTTTGTCAGCTCCAGCTCCTAGAGCGAAAAAAATCTGTTGCTAATTTTTGCAGGGTGTTTGGCTCTTAACTGAAGTTTTCTTTTTTAATTTACTTCATAGACTAAATTCAGCATAATTGTTGCATAGTGTAAAGCATTTTTCCTTGTGCCAGCTAATCTCATTATGCCCAAGTGGTATCTCTCTAGCTTTAATTTCCAGTTGATCTCCATAGGAGCTTTCTCATAGTCTTTCGAAGGCAACCAGTAAATTGATTTCCTTCCTAGTTGCCTTGGCCATGAAAGCTTTTTGGAAGCTATGCCTGCCTCTTAAAGTTCTTCTCTTTTGCAATAGCTAGCCATTGAAAAAGCATAATACTCTATGAAGCTACCTCCACCAGGGTCTTCTGCAAGAATTTGTGACCACAGGGACTTAGATCTTAACAGCTTGTAAAAACAATGAAAAATGCAGCAAAATCAAAGCTAGCTATTCATGTTGACAGCCAGTAGAAGCAGAAGAATAAAAGCATCTTCTGGATTCTTCATTTTTTCCAGATGATGCCCATCCTGTTGATATTGTTCCTTTTTTATCATCTTCCAGGATTTCTGGTGGAAATGACTCAGATCTTTGCTGTATTTAACCATAACTTCATTTGGTGAAAGAACCTGCATCAACACAAAATGTATTTGTTTCTTCCTGTAAAAACTGAATTTAAAATAAGCCCCTTTTTTACTATTTCATTTTTAGCAATGCTTAATGACATCAAATTGATGTGTGTTAGCAGTGTACAATCTCCATGAGTGTGATTAGGAGTTGCATGTACGTTTTTTCGACCGTTATAGCTAATTTTGTTCCAGACTACTTTTAAGCTGCATTTTAAACCCATTTAAGCTAGCAGCTACTGTAAATAATTTTAATTTAATCAGGAATTTTTTAAGCCATAGCATAGATGCTGAAAATTTGCATTATACCAGAGCACGTCATTGAAAGGGCAGGAAGGTCCTTAGTAAACATCTAGTATGGACCAGTAGCCTGTGTGAGAAGCGTCTGAATGTTGCCATGAAAATCAAGCATATATTTCATAGCAGTATTGATTGCTAGGGGGTCCATGCTCCCGAAGAAGAATCTCAGAAGTATTCTTCATTCCTGTGTGAATGTTGTTTGTTGCAGGGTATGTTCTCACGGTGTCAGTCGTTGTGGTCGTTAGTTTACTGTGGCTTTCATAGATTTCATCTATGGAGCTGGTCAGCAAAGGGAGAGGCTGTTGTTCCGCAGAATGGAAAGCAGTAGAAAGTGGCATCTGTAAGCAGGGGCTCTGTGCTCGTTCTCCATCTGCCTTTTCTTGATCAATGTGAACCACAGCTTGGTTGAAGTGCAAACACCATCTCATCCACGCAGAATATGAGATGTTGTACTAATTTGTACAAGTGCTACTGGGCGCAGGTCATGCCATGGTTTGATTTTGACGTATTGAGGGAGGCATCACGTTTAAAGAATAATGTTTCAGGTGGCCTTGTGTTGAAACAGATGTAATTACACATGTACTCCAAAGAACGAGCTTTTCTTGGTGCTTCTAGTACTGAAACTGAGACATGTTGACTGCCGAGTTGCAACTTATTCCTGTCTCTTCAGTCCCTGCATGTGTCCCTGATCTAGTCATATCAGGATGAGAAACTGTTCACTGTGAGTCGTTCAGATGCCTCCAAGTGTGAACTGTGAGAAGTGAGGGACCGGTTGTATCAGAGATGCTGGATGTGGTTCCTTCGGAAGCATTGCCCTTCCAGAAGCAGAGGGAGATGTAGCCACAGGGGGAAGGATGGGTCTGTGGGTGGGGAGGGAAGAGGCAAGGGCAGTATTCCAGGCTCTCTGAAGGGCAGCTGTGGTCCCACCTGTGGTAGGAAAGGCTGCAAATGCATCTAAGAGGTGTGATATGTGCAGCAGTGTGGGGTGGTGGCTGGGCTGGGACTATCCTGCAGGGATACAATCAAGAGAGGGAGGAAAATATTAATGGTATAAAATGTTTAAGCAGCAGCAGAGGTCTCATGCATCTTCAAAGTAAATAGCCACTTCCACAGCAGGTTACTTGGGTATGGTTATCTAAGCAAAGCTTATCGGCTGCTGTCCTCTAATTTCCTCAACAGTCATAACTGCTGAGGGATTTACTGAGGCAAACTCAGTAACTGCTCACTACTGATGAAAATTAGACATTTCAGTTTGTCTCACCCAACAAAGTACAAGTCCTGGAGACCGCCTGAGGCCACCACCCCATTGACACGGTGTCTGTCATTCCATTAAAGCTGGAGGAGGAGCATATACAGACCCTGCGGAGGAAAGACTTGGAAGTGCAGAGCTTGACTTTGCAGAACAAACTGGAAGAGAAGACCTGGAGCCAGGAGAAGAGTCTGCTGCAGCAAGAGCTCAGGCATTTCAAGCAGGACACCTTTCTCCTGTATGTCAAGCTGAAGTGGCTGCTGAAACATTGGCGGCAAGGCAAGCGGATGGAGGAGGACGGGGAGGACATGCTAGAGGTAACTGTCCCACCATCTTAACCCAATATAGTTACAAGCGGTGGGGTACTGGGATGTCCCTTCTTTAAGTGTAGACTTTAAATATGATGTGGCATCAGCAACTTTATAATTACACATAGATTTAAAGGGGATTCAAATTAAACATGAAGCCTTTTCTTAAGTTGGCTTGTGCTAAAGTATATTCTGCGTGATATGTTACAGATGACCCATCTTTAAATCTCAGCCCTTGACTAGTCAAACATCTGGTCCTGAAAAACTGTCTCATAGTAAATGAAAATTTAATTAGGTCCCAAAGATGTTACTCCTGAGTAATTTGGGGGAAGAAAAAAAAAAGTTAGGGAGCTGATGGAGTCAAATCTGTTTAGATGGGTTGAGTGCTGTCGTTTTTCTCATCATGTGCACAGTGTGTTCCTTACAAAGCCTTCAGCAATACAGATGGAGGGAAGCTCTGTTTTCATGTTGGCAGGAGAATTATACAGCTTCTTGTGGGAACTTACAGTGAATCATTCTTGTTTGTTCCTCTTCTCCATACACACGTCTATCACCATCAGCAGCAGTACGCCAGTAGTCATCATGGTGATTTTCCAAGTAGCAACTAAATTAAGATCAGGAATTTCAGAAGTACATAACAACCTGGAATCCCCAAGCTGACGCATCTCAGCAGGAGTGTGATTGCCAGCCAACATGCACTGTGAGGAAAGGTGCCGCTAAATTGTGTCGAGTTGCACATCCAGAACTGCCATGTGCTTTGGAAATCTTACCTAAAGAAAAAATAAGTTTAAAAAAGTGTTTGCCCATTCTGATATTTTATACAAAATTCTTGAGAATAATAGATTTATTTTGCAGATTCATGCAATTCTGAAACCATTTGCTAAGGCAACTAAATAATTTTTCTCAGTATTTCTGATACTTAGGTGCCTGGTGTTTTTCAGTGTTGGCTGCACTTGGCAGTACAAGTAACCTTTCAGGTCTGGTAGGAGTATGCTTAAGTTGAATACTCGAGTGTTTTGTATTCTTAGATAAAGGGTGGATGAGCATCTTTACCTTCATCTGCTGTGGTAATATGAGTCAGAAACAAGAGATGAGTAGCTATTTAGAAATGATTTGCTTCTACTTTACTTCAGCAGTATTAATTTGCTTCTATGTAAACTAGCTCATCTTCTAACATCAAAATAGCTTTCATTTTTTCACTGTTTGGGTTTTTTGAACTGGTTAATTTAATATCAATCCACCTCCAGTCATTATTGGAGTCATGTGTTTTGCTAATGCATTAGAGAGAATAAAGAGCTAGATTTGGGTACTTCCTGATCTCCGTATCTTCATCAGACAATAAACCAGTGTCTTGTATAGTTTTTCATTAATGCATGATGGATTATATCCATCATGCTACATTATACCCATCTTCTGGCTGCCTAGATCTCCTGTTTTGCAGGCCTGCGCAGTATTTTGTTCACATGTGCAACATGTCATCTGTCACCCCAAGATCATTTCCTGTTGCCTACAGAACAGAAGTCAATATATCCCACCACAGAGATGCAGGGGAAGACAGTCCCTTGCCTTAGCCCTTCCATAGATTTCTGTCCCCCGAGGTAAATGACAAGAGTGTTGATGTGTCCCATCTCTTGCATTTTAGATGGAGCACCCTGAGGTCCTCCCAGACTTTGGCATTCAGTCGGAGCAGAAGGCGGGTGATGCAGAGCGAGAGGAGGAGGAAGAGGATGTTGTGTTTGCACTGACAGGTTTCTCCCCGCATCCCACCATGGAGAGCACTGATCACGGACCACAGCTGCAGACGGCAGAACTACTGCAGCAGCAGAAGCAGGTGCTATACCATTTGTATGTCATGCCCTGGGAATCACAGAATCACAGACTGGTCGGGGTTGGAAGGGACCTCTGGAGATCACCTAGTTCAACCCCCCTGCCAAAGCTGTGTTAAATCACCTAGAGTTATACTTGTAAAAATACTTCTAGCTACACAGCAATTACAGTGGATTTCATCCATTACATTTATATTTAATGAGGAGCCACGTGATTACTGTTCTCCTGTTGGCAGACGCTATCAGTGAAAAATCCTATTTCCTCTTGTGGCTGTTTGCCCAGAAACATCTATCAGTATGTGATGGTTTGCAGAATTTAAATGCTCCTCTTGCCTGAGCACATCTATTGTAGTCTACTGTCAAGCTTTTAGCAAGAAGAGGTGATTTTATTTCCTTTAAATAATTTAAGAAACTGGCACATGTATTTAATGTTTCCCTTAGAGATGATGGGAAAACAAAGCAAAAGTTCCTTCCTGTCACTGGCTTTGTTTTTAAACACCTAAAAGCAAATCATGGTAACTTTTCCCTGACATCGCCTGTGCCCTGCCTGTGTGTGTCAGCGCACTGCCATATATCCTAGCTTTTTCCATTGTGCGTTTAACATACCAGCAGTGCTAACAATAATAATAGCTGACATTCAAAGGGGACAGACAAGTCTTCCAACAGTTCTTCAGGAGCATCTTCTTATATTTTTAAAATGGAAAACATGCAGATGAGAGCATCCTGTTACATGGAATTATTTGCAATCATAAGTAGAATGGAGCAAGAATTCTGTGTAAAACACAAATTCAGTGAAAAAGGTCTTGAAGCTTTATGTGCCATCTCTATTGGGGCCCTTGGCTTGGGAGCCCACTCCACAGCGAGAGCTCCCAGACAAATACATACTCTCTGTGACTGCTTTACTTTGCTGGACTCGCTACAGGATCTGGGGATTGTGTGTGTCTTTGCATTTCAGTTCTTCGCCTTGAATTCCCCAGACTCTTACGACTATGTACAACCTGTTTGCTTATTATCTATATAGTCTAATAGATACACAGTAGGCAACAGTAAGTCTCTATCCTGTAATAAGGTGAGGCTGGTGCTGGGAGATGCACAGGCTGTCTTGCAACCTACCTCTCTAGTTCAAGATGTAATGAGCACTGTGTTTATTGGCAGGCATGTAAGAAGGGTTTTCAGTGCTACGGGGCTTGTATTTGTCAATGGCAAGAAAGGATTATGATTATCCTCTGGCACAGAAACAGGAAGCCATAGTCTAGGTTAATTCTGACGCTGTCATAGATTCAGGGCATCGGCGGTGCAGGGCATCCTGCGTGCAGGACCTTCGCTGTGCTCACCAACCTCGCAGACCCTGGTTCTTGCACTACACGCATTACAGACCTTCACCCATAAACATCAGCTCCACTTAATTCATATATGAGCCCAAAACACATTAACTAAATAAAAATAGAGCAAGAAAACACTTCGCCTGTGTTGTCCCAGCTTTAAAAGCTCTGAGAGTGTCAGCAGACCCTGAGCACGTCCTTCCAGAGGGGCTGGATCTCAGCGGTGCCCACCTCCCAGCATACATACCACTGACTAGTCAGGCTGTGCTGAAAAACACCCAGGGGTTTGGGGGTCTGCTGCAGGTTCCCTAAGCCTGCAGCTGGCAAAAATCGCTGTTTATATGGGGAATTGGGGGTGAGTGGTGAAGCTGGAAGTCGCCGAGGTTTGCACCTGCCCGGGAGAGCCCTAAGTTGCTGGTTCTGCCTGGCAAGCTCCAAGATGAAATGCATTGGCACTTGTTTCACATTAGGAAGGAAATTTTGCAATACTCTAGGAGTGGCTGAGATAACTAGGTCAGAAAAAAGAAAGGGCTTACGGTAACTTGAAGTAACCCATATTTATTTTTAACATTTAATGTTAATATTTAATGGCTTGTATTTTCAGCCTGCACTCTTGCTGCTGTCTGTTTTGCCCAGCCTGGAAAGTGGAATTGTTCTGAAAAAAATAATAAACCCTGAGGACTTAATTTCAACACGCAGCCTTTAATTTTATATTGTTATGATCTGAGGTACTCAACTCAGTAGAAAGTACACGTCTCGATTGTCTGGGATTTTCATGTGGCCAGTGTGTGGAGGGATGAAGTCACAGCAGAGGGGAAAGGAGAGAAAAAAGGTCAGGTGATGAGAGGCAAAGTAGATGGGGACTCTGAGAAGGGACCATTCGTCTTTCTCTTCATGGCGTCGTCCCTTGGCTGGTAGCTGGGGCACGCTGCAGAAAGGGTCGGGCAAGGAACTGGCAAGGCTCAAGAGCCGAGCCGGAGGTCGGGTCACAGGCAGGAGATAAGCGGGCAGTCGGGCTGGTGGCACAACGGAGGAGGGCTTGCGGTAAGTCAGCGTTTCTGTGTCTGTAGTAAGAGATCAGGGAGAACAGCTGTGGAAAAAGGAAGCTTTGGTTCAGTTGAGTAGAAAGGGTGAGATGTCTGTTGGATGATGTAAGATCAGGGGAGTAAGAAGAAAAGAGTTTACACATCTGTCGTCCAATGGAAAAAGCATTAAAAAACAATACACTTGTGTTATTGCTGGGGGGGTGTGTCAAGAAAATCCCCAGTTAGATATTTTTTTGCTCATACAATATTTGTTTTTAAAGCTTAGCTAAGAGAAAAGCCCAAAGGAATAGTAATTAAGACCTAAATATACTAAAATGGTTTGCACCAAGATCCGGCTTCACTTTTGCCTAAATCTGTGATTGCACACAGAAGATGCAGAGTTCTTGTTCGCTGTTTAGGCTCCTGACCTTGTATTCTTAATTGACTGCTCTACTAAACTACTTGTAATACCAGACTGTGGCTAAATTCTTAAGTGAAATTCTCAGAGAAAAAAAAATTGTGATTAAAAGCAGAACCAAGCTTCAAACAACTGCTCTGGTCCCAAACTTTTCTAGAGCTGGAGGCTCCCATCTCTGGGGTTGACTCAAGTTAGTAGAGACTCCAAAGTCCTGGAATTTAATTGAGGTTTACTGCATTAAGTTTTTACTTATTGTCAGCTGTTTCCTTTACTTATAAATCCTTAGCTGTGGATACAAGAAGACTTTAAACTGCTTTTGTAATTTTCTTGTCTTCAATCAGTTGTGAATCAGTCAATTCCTCCATGCTCTAAATTTCGGTAACTAAAGAGCCAGCTTCTTGCATGGGAGACTGTCCAGGGAGTCACAGCCATGCCCCATTTCTTCTGCCTGTGCAACATCCCTGGGAGGAAGGCGAAGACCATAACATTCCTTGTTAGGTAGCTATGGGTCTTATGCAGAAGCTGTTTGGCAGTTTTACCGACAGAAATCTAAAGCATGTCTAGATGTAAGTGTTGTATTTCAGAGCACATTGTCTCAAAAGTACTTTGGCTGTTCTCCAAAAACACTCCAGTTTGGCAAAACAGAAAAAATAATCTCAGAGACCTCTCCAACTTCAGACTGTAAATACAAAGTCGTGCAAAGGAGAATTCTCTGCAGGAATTAAAAGTATGTAACCAAAATTGGATTTATGTTGGCAAGTTAATTAAAATCCCAGCAAGCCCAGGGGGGCACCTGTCTCCTAACAGTGACATTGATGTAATGCCTCTAGAAATAAGACGTGCCCTCCTCCCAGTAGGCTACAAACCTGCAGTGAGGCTCTTTTGGCCCCTCTCTGTACTAGTCCATCACTTCTTTCTTTGCAAACCTATTTTTACAGGACTCTAAAGCTATCAAATGCATGCACAGGAATGAGGGATGTAGCTTGCCTTAGTGTTGTTTGGTTTCATTCTTCTTCTCCCTCATTTCCCCGGTGGAGCCTTTAGACTGCTTTGCCAGAGAAAGGTTTATGCAGCATACAGGAAAACACAGAACATGGCTCTTGAATGAAAGCACTTCATAGACATTTGGGGTCAGGGTTTTCAAAGAGGATGAGGCCAGATTTTGATGTGCTCAATACCCAGCAGTTCCTGTTGTGACATGAAGGACAAATCTTCAAAAGAGCTCTTATTCTGATTACTACACAAGGGGCTTGAGATGTTTAGAGAATTTAGCCTTAATTGGGTATCAGAATGAAAATTTGTGGTGGAAACATAAGATCTCATTACATATTGAAAAGTAGGTACTCTTATATGCATGATGAAGGCTGCTGCTGTATAGTAGGAAACTGCTAATTGGCATTAAATGTTAATGGAATTAATTCTGCTTCTGTGGGTGCATTTCTTATAAAACCCCATGTTGTACCCCATCACATTTCATTAGCCCAAACAGACTGTCGGTCAGTCGATGAGCACCTGCAGCCATTCCCCTGCATCTAGCATATTTTTCCTGATGAATCAAATGGCTCGGAAAAAGTAGATGACATTTGTTTGGTTTTTGGAGAAAAAAGGCACCGTGGTATGTCTGATTAGTGATTACAAGTGTGGGTGAGGTGGGTTCAGTGATGCCAAAAATCTAATGAGCATATGAAATCAGCTTAGTTGACCTGCAGAAAATTTTATACGTATTGTCATTGAAAAAAGCACATGAAAATTATTTAGATTTTTGCGTACATCTGTTTAGTTGACTTGTCTACAAAGAAGTCCCCATGTAGGTACTTCATGAAACACCAGATAAGAGGAATTGCAGGAAGCCTCCACTTGGAGAAAATCAATTAGACTATCATGTAAGAATCGAGACAGCTAATTTGAGTTAGGCCTTCCCAAGGAAGCTAATGCATTCATGAGAATGGTGATTAAATGCTGAATTTATTGAGTAAGCTTTCCCATTTTTCTGTTTGTGCTGTGTCTGCTAATCAAGTATAATTTTCTTAAAAGTCTTTTCTATTCAGAATAACTTGTCAGATACAATGTCTGGCTACTCCCAGGTCTTTGAGAGGCTTATTGGGAATATTTTACGGTTTGGACTCGATGATCTTAAAAGGTCCTTTCCAACCTAAACAATTCTATGATTCTAAATGATTTTATGATTTGTTTTAAATTTTGGATAAATATATCATGTTACACAATTCTGTTTTCTAATTCAATGACTGTAAAAAAATGGTGGGATACCTTTTGTTTTACTGATCCAGAATTCATCATTCAAAAATGTTTTTCAATCTTTTAACATAAAAATGACAGGTTTTGCCAGTCCTCAGAGAATTTGCAGAAAGAAAATTCCAAAACTAAGAAAAAAAAATTAGAGATTTGAATAAATATACATGCTGTCTTTTAGTACCTGCCAAGATCAGATGTCAGCTCTAGGCTAGGCTTTTAATTTAACTCCGTTCTTGGCTCCTGACTAGCACGAGAGCACAGACAACATTTTCAGTATGACCATGGCGTTCTCAACAAGACGTGGATGGGGGTTTGCTCTTTGATCCCATCTGCAAGAGAGAAAGTGGCCTACCTGCCATTCGTGCCGTTGGTACCAAACAGGGTGCTGCTGCGCAGCTAACCTGCGTGCAGCTGCCTGGCACTGGGCAGAAATGTGAAGTACAGACTAGTGAAACACCCTAGCAGAGATACTCAGCTCAAAACCTCACTTTTTTTTCCAAAGTAATTTTATCTGATAATACAAAAGCATTGAAAATTAATCCCTTTTCTTTATATGTAGTTTACAAATATTTGAGATTTGATGCTGAGCAATGACTGTATGTATGAGATATCCAGCTACCCAGCAAACCTCAGGAATGATACTCTAGCTTTGCTTTACAGTATTAAAAAAGAAGTTATTACAGACGTCCTTAATCCAGAAAGATGGTTAGTGCCTTTTTCAGGGTGACTTAAGGATCTTTGGCTTTCATGGGTGCTTCAGGACTAGGGCTAACAAGAAGTAGAATCATAGAATCTCCAAATCATAGAATCATTTAGGTGGGAAAAGACCTTTAAGATCAAGTCCAACTGCTAACCTAGCACTGCCAAGCCCACCAGTAAACCATGTCCCTAAGCACCACCTCTACACGTTTTTTAAATTCCTCCAGGGATGGGGACTCCACCACTTCCCTGGGCAGCCTGTAGACAGAAGGCATTGCTATTCTTAGTTTTCTCACGCAAAAGTTAGCCGAGGCACTTTCTCTTCCATGGAGTGGACGTGCAGGCATTTTTCCTCCTAAAAATGAAACTGGAGGCTAAAGCTATCCAATGACAGCATTTCGTTTGCTTCGTTGTGACAGGCAAGTGAAAATCGGAAGCTCCTGACCGCTCTGAAGGGTTTGCTGGATGACTTCCGCTCGGAGCTGCGGGACGAGGAGCGAGAGCGGCAGGGCCTCCAGCAGCAGTACGCCCTGCACAAGGCAGCCTGGGAGGTGGAAATGACTGAGCTGAAGTGTCACCTCGAACAGGTAACGTCCCCCGCGGCCAACACCGTTAGAGAACGGCTGAGGTGCTTAACAAAATGGGAAATCTGTGACAGCCAGGAAAGGAACTATATTTATTCATTTTTACTCTGGTGCCTGAAAGCCCCCCTGAAGCTTCAGCAAAGCTTTGCATCTTGAGTTGCCTCTTGGATTCCAGTTCTCCCAGTACGAGTGCTCATATAGTAGGTATTGTGTAACGTAGGTGAGGACAAAGGAATCAAACCTCTTCTTGCTGTATTTTCTCCGAAGAGTTGGCTGGTAATGTATCATCAGCTGCGGTAGTGAGACATGCGGGTGTCTGTATGTATTGGCATTTGCAGGAGAGAGAAATGTCTTGATGTTGACATGCTCACAATTAGCTCATCACTGTGCCTTGGCACATAACAACTGCGGTATTTGATGCATAGGAGAGAAAAGAGTAATTTAATAATACTGACGTGATAGATCAATATGTTAATATTAAACCAGCTATTCAAAGGTACTGGTTAGTGATGGATGGGACCCCATGGAAGAGAGAGCTCTAGCTACCCACCATGGGATACTGTTAGAAGTATGTATATAAAATCTGGTGCCAGGTTCTTCAGTGTCATGTATGGCTGTTCACAGAAGATGTACTGCTTCTGAAGCAGTACAAAAACAAATCAGCAAAAAAACCCACAAGAACTCATTTCCAAAGCTGATAGCATAAAAGGTCTAATTTTCTACATTGAAAAGGGAAGGGTTGGGAGAACTAGTACGTTCAGGTCTTGAAAAAAAGATTTGCAATTGTAGAGCTTCTCTGCAGAAGACAAATATAATAAAAATATTCACTGCCAGGAGGGTGGTACATTTAGGAGGATTTACTGAATGTCAGAGACGCGCTGTGATGCACAGAGCTGAGATGCGAGCGCTGCTTTCCCTGCCCAGGCACTGTAGGCTGCTTTCCCAGAATGAAGGAAGAAGCTTTCATTTTAGCAGAGTTTTCTCTCAATGGATTCAGATTCTCAGTTCAGCTGCGTCTTAGTGCACACACATTTCCAGACAATGGATCACTTGAAAAAAGAAATAAAATCAATTCCCATTTTCACTCCTCCCAAAATAACCTCGGTGACTGATTTATGTTAAACTTGAGATGGCAACAAAGAACAAAACTTAGAGAAAGTTACTCTGATAGCAGACTGCCAATTTACAGCTTGCATACTTTGCCTTTGCATGGGCGATAGACTCCCAGGCTGCTGCTTTGGCTGGTATTTGGCACCAGGACGGCGCTGCCATTCCTGCCCAGGGAGAAGAAAGAGTTGCACCCTTCCTTCTTGGGGCTTTACCAGGCTCTTGGCTACCTCCACTGGTAATAACATATAACATACGGTAACTACTGAGCCATGGGTGCTACTTTTTGCATTCTTTCAAACAAATTAGAAGAATTAAACTGGTCAATATTTGAGACATAAAACTGTCATCCTTAGCCAATTCTCCACAACATTTCTATTTCACAGTAAAAACGGGTCCCTAAGGCAGTAGCAAAAGGATAGCACATCAGTCATTGGAATGTCAATTAGGATAGGTGAAAGCATGTAAGTGTCCCGCTGAGGTCTGGTGTATGTGCTCACAATTACAAGGAAGCAATTAAAAAACTAAATATAAAAAAAAATATATAATAATCCTGAAATAGAAACAATATAAACATAAATGTAACTCAAACTAATGTTAAAGATTCAAAATATGGGATGTTTTCACTATAAGGCAAATTTTGTTATCAAAGTGGGAGGAGCTAGTGCACAAGGTGTAAAATACCAGCATTACATACAGTCATGTTAACGTCCTTTGCTATTCCGTGCCCAACATGTGGCACAACAACGGCTTTAGCTAAATATCGAAGTCTGTCAGGTTGGTGTGGGTAGGAGGACCTCTCATGGTGTCATTTTGTTGTTTTGATGGATGGTGATGAAGCAGCGGGCTGTACAGTGCTCCCACCATAGGTTTTGTATTGAGCTGCCAACCCCCTGGCAAGCCCACAGAGACTCAAGGCCTTTCCAGTCTCCACTGTTGTCTTCAGTGCTGCTGTCTTCCACTTTTTTTGTGAAGTAGAAGGTCAATTAACATGAGCATTTTCCTCAAGAGAGCCAACTCCTAATTAATAGTCACTGGCAATGGTTTTGCATTTTGATGCTTCAACTCTCTGTATTAGGAAAGAAAGGAAAAAAGGAAAGAAAACTCTTTTGATACAAAAGCACTGCGTATCAGAGGTGACAGTGCACTGTTGCCTGGTGCTTTGGAGCTTTAGCACTGCATATATCATTAAAAATAAAAACCTTGTCTGTCAGAAATGCATGTACATCTTATTTGGCAGAAGGATCCTTAGGCATTATTTTTAAGATAAAAAATAATGAGATTGCTCCCAAGTATGGGATTGTGATAATGCTGAGCCAATAAGGAGGCCCAGTAATTCTCAGCCTCCAGCTGGGCAAGTGAAAAATCCCAGTATTCTGGGAACTGAGAAAAGTTTGGAAGAATGAGGGAGTTAGTATGAGGGGCCAAACTCTGTATATGTTTTGAGAACTTGCATGTAAGGACACAGACCCTCACTGGGACTCTGACCAATGGTCCGGCTTCAGGGTGCCTGGGGGGAAATACAAGCTGTGATCCACATGGAGAGGCATCTGGCCATCCTTAGCATTTAGGAGGTTTAGGAAAGTCACATCTAGACTGTCGTGCTAAGGAGCCACCAATGGACCTTTCCTCCATGATTGGAGCTGTTTCATCCAAACAGAGGCAGAAGGACTCTCTCCTTGCCAGGAGCATCGTTCTGCTTTCCATAGGCACCAAGAACTGTCTTCTGAGTCTAAACACACCGCCTCTGACTGGAGAAGGTTTTAGGTCCCAAATCACTGAACACCAGGAGATAATTCTGAAGGTGTATCACTGTATACTCACCTTGGTTTTGAACTCATCTTTGTACTTACAGACTTCTTGTATTCTTCTCAAACTGGGCAAGAGCCAGAGCTCTGGTCTGGGTGGGCCCATGGTCCAGCACAGGATGAATTACTGTATTCGGGCAGCTCGGGCATGGCTCTCTAACGGCAGCCATACGTTCTTGGGATATCTCTCTTCTGGAGCATGTTCTTACCCCCGACTGCCTCTCTCTCAGCTTTCCTGCCCTTCACAGGCACCACCGCCTGTCTCGTTTGCTAACTGAATTTGCTCAATGGAGTAAGGGGAGAGAAAGAATGAGTCTAGTTGAGGTTCAACATTTTGGTATTTTTTTGATATTCGAAAAAAAGGAAGAAGGAATTTATAGGATAATCATGCAATCTGTATTTATTGCAACTGAGCATTTGTTTGCTTTAATAGGTTGCATTTAGCATTTTCGTGCTTCATACCGGCTCGAGAATTTATCACAGGCATTGGTGTATCTTCACAACTTAGCATGCTATCCATAGCTACTGCTGCATGTGGCATTATTCCCCGGGAGGGAGCAGAATTGTAAGGTTGAGTCTGCACTCCAGCCTAGCTGGATTTACCCCAGACGCTCCAGGAACCTCGCCTAAGAGCTCCTGTTGTAAGATAAGTCTGCAGGGGCATCAAAGGTCCTTGAAAGGTGACTTACATATATCACAAAGAACAAGTCCTAAATAGCCTTCTGTCAGGCTTAGGTGTAAGGAAACTATAGAGTTTACTTCCTCAGTCCCTTATTATTTTGGCTGATCTCAGCTCTGCAGTGGCACTCCTGAAATCCATGATTATTTAGTGTCACAGCTAATTAGCAAGCCCAGGAGGAACTTGCAAGAGCGATCCCGGGGCGGGGGGGGAGGGCGGGCACAAAATAGTAAAATTAAAGCAAACAAACCTAAAAGAATGGGTACCAACATCGCTGACCCCAGTTGCAGCACCAACTTCGACTCCTGCAGCACCATGAAATGGAGCTGGGGACTTGCGGATGGACAGAGGAAAGAGGTAGCAAGGGGCAAGAGGCCATTACCTGAAGTTAACAGTGAGTCTGGAAACTAGCAGTGTTATTTTTACATATTGCTGAGCTAACGTGTGGGCAGTCAACATGCTGAGGTAGTGGGTAGGAAGGCAGCAAAGCCTTCTGGCCTCTTGAGGAGCCGCGCTGCCCAGGATGGTGTCTTTCACCATGGATCTGCAGCAGAGGGTTCTCTCCGGGGACGTTCTGCGTTTCTGCCCCAGGGCACCCCTGGTCTGCCGCCCAGCCGTGCTGGTGTGTGCCAGACAGCCTCGCACACACCGCTGAGCGTCCCACAAATTTACACTGCACAAACAAGGTAAGTGCGAGAAAGATAGTGTCATGTCAACTTTGTTAAAATAGGACGCTGCTTTTTTATAATTGACTTTTTTGGTTGGTTGGCTGGCTGGTTTTTTAAAACAACTGGACTTTGGAAATTCGTAGTAGAGGACGCAGGTGTTTTAAGATTTCCCTATCAACGCAAGTGACTGTAACAGGATGTTCTCTACAGCTCGGTACAATTTTAAATGATTCAAGCAATGACCTCTTGGCCATTTATCTGGAGAGGCTGTTCAGAGACTAGTAAGCTTCACTCCTGAACTTCTCTTTGCTCAGAAAGTTTGGGCTTATTTTCCACACAGAGCAAGGTGAAGGTGTTGTCCTTCTCTCCTGCTAAAGGAGCATGTTTCCCAGCAGACCAGCTGCCTCTCCTTTTAACTTCAGAGACGGAGATGAGTTTTCTCTGCTTTTCACTCCAGTTCACCTGCAGAGCCTGGGGATGGAGATGGATCCCACTCTGAGTCACTCACACATCTACTGAGTTGTCAACAAAAGGTCAGGCGTCAGGGATAAATTCTTCACTCGACTGACCTTACACAAAACCACTGAGCACTTTTTTCACTCTGACAACAGCCCAGCAGTGGCCAGAGAGGTTGTGCCGTCCCTGCCCTCAGAGGTTTGTCAGGATCCCACTGGACAAAGTCCTGGACAACCCAGTCTGAGCTCAGAGCCAACCCTGCTGGAAGCAGGGGGTCGGACTAGAGACCTCCTGACACCCCATCAAACCTGCCTTTTCCTACAAATCTGATCGAGCTGACCCCTGAGCACGAAGTGAAGAAGAAGGGAGGGAAGGCAGCATCAGCTAACGGCCCTAGAAATCAGTTCAGACCCCAGAACCTGCAGAGATGGAGGGTGATCTCAGTACATCTCCTGCTGCTGCTAACACTGTCTTTTGTTGGAAGGTATGAGAAGCTGTACAATAAGACCATTGCTGAGGGTTGTTTGGGGAAAACTCTCTTCAGAAGACAAATGAACTCCCTTTAGGTTTCTGGTGCACTGAGCGAGTGCACAAAAGCAGAGCAGCAGCTGAGGACATTGTCCTGGCAATTGTCTCAGAGATGCTGATGAGGTTGGAGCTTCTCTGTGTGTTTCCTTCATTGCTGGTACCCACACTCCCATCAGAAAAATCGTAACTGATGCCTTAATAGCATGAGCTGGTAGAGCTTGAGAAATTATTCACTATGGTTTTCACTGTCTTGATTTTGAAACTCTTTTCAAGTTGAACATATTTGATCCTACAATCTAAGAATTGCCATAAATTTGCCATTACCTTTGTGGAGTTAGGTCTTTAACTCAAATTCATTGTCAGACACAGGCTTTTACTACAGAAAGTTTAATGTGCTAGTAATGTTTTACTTTCATACCAGCTGGAAGGGAAGCGTGAGAACACCTCAGGAGAAACAGGCCTCACTTCTGATGCAAAGGGAGCTTTTAATTTTGGGAAAGAGAGGAGCACAAGAAGCTTCTGGCTGAGAGTCATGGTGTGGTGATGGACCTCCGCTGGCAAATCCAGCACAGTGAGAAGAACTGGAACCGGGAAAAGGTGGAGCTCCTGGACAGGCTTGACAGAGACCGGCGAGAATGGGAGCGTCAAAGGAAGGAGCTGCTCAAGCGGATAGAGCAGGTAAGGAGTCACCTTGGGGTGAGCAGTGGCTGGCTGCAAGCACGAGGCATTGTACCTTTACTATACTCAGGCCAAGGTCAAGAGACTGTATTAAGAAGGAGCATAGGAACAGTTTTGGTTCCCTGGCTACATCAGTGTTTCTCATGCTACAAAACAATTTTCATACACAAGGGAGTAAAAGGAAAATGCTCATAATCCCTATAAAAGATCCCTTATGAGAAATCGACTCCAGGTTAAAGGCCATTTCCTGCCTCATTTCAGTTACCCCAGACAGGCATGGTCACATCGATTCGTTCTGTTTGAAAGCTTTTGTGCATCTCTTCGTGCTAAAACACTCAATCCCACATGCAGGGTTATTCAAGGTTTGATATACAGCTTCCTGCCAAAAAAGTCTGTTCATCTGTGAATTAGGCACCAAAGATGCAGCTGCTGAGAATATTCAGTCTCAGCTGAATTCTTTTTCTCTAGCAAAGGAACCTGGGGGCTAACATGGAGAGCCCTGACTGATAACAAATAAACAGCTGTCAATACTAAATATCCAGAAGATGCTTCTGACCTTGCTCACATGAATTTTGTGCACACTTCTGCCATCATTTGCAAATCTGATAACTGCATACTTCTCACCTTGTTTTTCGTGCCTATATCTGTACTTTCATCTGCTTAGTATTAGAGACAAATTATAGCTAATGAATTTATTATCTGGCTGGAAGCCACACAAAAACCCAAAAAGTTTGATGAGGAAGAGCTGGTACACCATTTTTGACTGAACATTGTTCAGCTCTGAGTCATGCATTCCAGGAAAAGTAAGAAAAACAACTGAAATTGTGGGTCCTCAATTAACTGAATACGTTCTGTCCTTAGGACATCAGAAATGGAAGGGCACCAGATTTGTGCATGCTCTCTAGGGAGCACTATGCTTGAATGAAGCACAAAGTAGCTTCACAGGTTAAGTTGATGAAAGCCTGGTGTAACTTCATGACCAGTGTTTGAAAAGGGTTCGTTTTCTGTGTCTCATGTTCCCATGCCTGGGCTGCAACAACAAGAAGCTGAAGAAAAGACACCAGGCTGTAAATGTTACGAGTGCAAGCCTAAACCTCAGTTTAAGCTGTGGCTGTTAAACTCACAGAGAAGTACTTAGGAAAATCCTGTACCCTACAGATATTTCTAAAAGCACTGCTAAAAGTGTAGGTCTGAGTGGGCAGTGACTAATATGAAGGCTTTACAGACCAAGAAAGGTGATTTTTGAGCTTCTAAATTTAAAAGTATCCATAAACAATATTCTGGATTTTTTTAATCTCTCATTTATCTGAGAGGTTTTGTGTATAATTCATGCAACTTGTTGAGCTGGCCCTTATAATGCAGCTCAGTAGTACATCTCCTAAGATAAACCACCCAGCGCCTAGGAGCCGGGAACGCTTGGAGCAGAACTCTTCAGGCCAGTTACCTGGTTTCCAGGGTTCAGTGGCAGAAGGTGCCGAGTTCTCCATGGCTGGACTCCGCTGGTTCCTGACTCTGGAGTTTCAGCGGCCAAACTGCCTTCTGTGGATTCTTCATGCACAAGGGGAACGAAATAACCCCCCAGAAAATTTCCCAATATACTAAGGATGTGGACATAAACTTTTCATCAGAGAGTCACTGGTGCCTCTTTGGATGTTTGTGCTGCTGTCCTTATGAACTGTATTTTTTAATATTATCTCTTCAGTGTATCCTCAATAGCTTGAGGGACTTCACCTGGTTAAAGACTGCTTTTTCTGTTCCCTGGGAATGGGGCACATTGAAGGAAGCAACAGAGAAATCCCTATTAATGTTACCTAGCTTTTAATTCTCTTCAAACCTGACATAACTTCTCAGTGTCATCTTGGGAGAGCCTACAAAATAGCTTTTAACTGGTCCTGGAGCTGATTTCTTTTGTTACTGTTCCAAAACCTCTAGGCTTCAACTGTATATTTACTGTACAAGAGAGCTGTACACAGAATTAGCAATAGGTAGGGGAAATAAAAAACATTCTATCATCAAGCTAATTTTAGAGGACTAGATGATCAGAGATAGCATTTGAAATCTTGGCTACCTGCCTGCAAAACTTCATAACTCCATCTTTGCTTATAATCAAACATTTCCCCGTGTGACAGGAAGCTTCCAAATATTTGCAGGCTTTTAGTTGAATGTCCTCTGAGATTGCAGTCATGCCCTGCTTTATATGGAAACAATTAGTATATCTCTGAAATCCTTCTCCCCAGGGTTTTTCTGTGTGTATTCCATGTATGGCAATACACAGAGGATGAGGAGACTACACCAGCGTGTATGTTTGAAAAACAGAGTCTAAGAGATAGCAGAAGCGTGTGTGCCAAATTTCATACCAATGCTTTATGCCTGTCTGCTTTGACACAGCTCCTGAATAATACATGTATGATAAGGGGGACGCTCAGACCAATGTATAAAATATATAAAACACTTTACTCTGGATGGTTATGGGAATACTCCTCACATGTAAAAAACATGATGACCTACTTTTTTCAGAGCTCAAAGTTGTGTTTTTTTCTTTTTAAGTACACTGTCACTTTGTTTTCCCTTAGAGAATCACCCTCCACTGTGCTCCTAAAGCTAATTGTGCACAGAGCGCACTGGCAAATACTTAAACCCACAAAATCACCTGTATGAAAAGTTGTGTGTTTAAAGGTATAAATACATGGCAACTCAAAATCATTAGTCACTCTTGAAAAGTTAGGCCAGTATTTCTCTCTTTAATTCTCCTGTCAGCTACCTGAGATTCAGAGAGTGAGCCAGTATTTGTATTGTTTTCTCATAAAGGTTCCCAGATCATTATCCTTATAGGATCGCTGAAAATCGGAAAGGGCTTGCAAATGGAACTAAGTATACAGAAAACATGTGATTACCATTTCTCCTTGCTTTGGGTCTGCTCTTGAGATATACCTTCCAGCCCCTCCCTTTATAGGATACCTTAAATTAGCTCCTTTTAATAAAACTGTTTCAGATTTTGTATATCATGAGTAAAACACTGAAGATGCATTCCCCTTTTTGTAGATCTGAATCAAGCAAAAATCTCACTGATTTCAGCCCAAGTGCAAATTTAATCATTTGGGACCTAAAAAAGTTTTCATCTCCATTAGGCAATGCAATGTCTGTTTATTTTTCCAAACACATGCAATAATACTAAAATAATATGTTTTGTCGGTCCAGGGTCCTAGGGAATGACTTGCATTTGCAAGCTACTGTCCCTAATCATAGCACGCTGCGCCAGCAAAACATCAGGGTTACTTATCAGACTCCTGCTGCCATTCATCATGTTTGAAAATACCCCTTACTTCATCTATCCTGTTGTATTTACAATTAAAGGAGAAGCTGGATCACATAATCGAATTTTAAGATTGCCAATTTCAGTAGTGGTTCACCTTCTTCACCCAGATTTTGCAAAGTGTAGAGTTAATAGCTTTGATGGCCCTTTTATAAATATGCATTTTCTTCAGACATGCTTTGCATGCCTAATTCATCCCTTTGACAATGCTGTTCTGTACAAATAGCCAACTTTCTAGCCATGCATTAGGGCTAGACCATCTATAAAACAAAGCTTTTGTCTTTTGTTAAGCAGAAATTTCCACCTCTGGAAACAAGTGATGAACATAAAAGTGCAACCATTGTATTGCTGACCAGAAGAAAAATGTATTTGTTTTGGTGAGACTCCAAGTCACTCACCCTTCCTTGCGCTTCTACTTGTATTGCTTTAGGATCTCATATCAAGATTGCTTTTAAATAAGTCAGTGTTGATTTGTTTCCTTAAAAATCAGATTACAGACAGATGCGTTATTTTATGTATATATACACACAGTGTGTATGTACGTATACATATCTATGTAAGCAAGCAAAACTATATCTATACACATTTAATCACTCAAAATCCCCTGAGTAAGAGCATCAAAGGCCTAGAGACATCTGCCTTTGCTGAAGGACCAGTACAGCAAAGCCAGCATCCCTGGAGCCGGAGGGTGATCTGGTGGTGCCTCCCCAGGGCATGGGTGCCTCGCTCCGGGGGACGATGAGTTCCGCAGAATGCCGTATGCTGCGTAAGTAATTGCTGTTCCTTTTAATTTGCCTTGTCTCCAGCTTCAGAAAGAAGTGAGCCCACGAAGAGGAGGTGGTTTTCTGTGTGACCAGAAGGAGAGTAATCTTCGTCCGTTTACGACCCAGGGGAACCTTCACATGGCTCGTCCGATGGGGTCAAGATCCTACTCTGATTCAGATGCCATTCAGTTTGACGATCGGTCACTGTCTAAGCTGAAGGAGAGCGATCGGTGCAGCGCCACAGAAAACCTCTTCCTGGAGTCACTATCTCTTGATTCCCCTGACGAGTCTGATGAGCACCGGTCTCGGCAGCTGGAGCGGGAGAAATTCTTGACCGGCTTAACGGAAGTATGTGTTCTTCTACCTTTTATCAAGCTGATGTGTTGTCTCTTATGTCAGAACTGTACAGCATCCCTGTGGTAGGAAGTCAGATCCTGTGTCACAGGCACTGCTGACAGTTACCCAGCAGTGAATCTGGGATGGACAAGATTTCACTCCTTGCTATGAGCTGATGAGACCAGTGTCAATCACCTTGAGAAACTGGGAGCCAACCTAGAGGTCCCAAAGATTACCTCACCTTGTGGCCATTACATTTGACGCAACACATTGGTTTAGAAGGTCTTAAATCTCTTCCAGCTGTAAGTAGATACATATATACGAAGAAACATGGGCTATATTTTGCTAGTAAAGCAGTAAGTGCTGTAGAGAGGCACTTCTGGTTGTTCCGTTGTGGTTGCCTTCTAAATAGATTAGGATGAGTAAGTGAGATGTTAAAAATATCAAGTTATTCTTCATCAGCAAAGTGCCTACCCTGAGATCACACCCTAAAGCTATAAAGCCGTAAAATGCAGGGCTAAGAGAAGCCATTGGGCCATGGCAAATGTAGTCTGTGTCCCGCTAACATCTGCACCACCGCAGGCTTGCTTTCACCAGTTCCAGGTCTTCCCACTTTTATTTATATTGTTGCCTAATGAAACACATTACAACTTCAAAACACTAATATCTCCTTTATTTTCTGTTGTTCCTTGAATGTTAGCGGCTGTTACAGAACAAGAAGCATTCGGAGGCTGCCAGAAGTTTAAATTATCAAGCAGGCAGCACGTTGCTTGATGCAAGTTTTCAGTACTTTCTTCTTGCCTGAAAAATTCAGATTTGTGCACATGAGTTAGACATTCAGCTTGTGCTCTGAGCACGTAAACACTGGTTGAGTGTACACATTATAGCAAATAGAGGAGTAGAAGCTTCCCAGTCGAAGAGGTGTCTGTGTACTCCGGCTTACAAATCTGAGCGCTCTGGAATAGACTCCGTCCGCGGGTCCGGCCTCGGGCTCCCCGCAGGGCCAGGTTCACTGGTGTGCCTTGGCGTGAACGTCTGCGCCTGTGGAAGTTTGACCCAAGCATTTCTTTGAGATGTATAACATTGTCATTCAGCTAAAGGATTGGGAAATCAAGTTCTTTGGGAGGAAGATGAGAAAAAAAGATTAAGAGAGGCAAGAAATGTGACCGCCCTTCTTACCTTTGAAGTAGCTGTAGGTACCTGTGTGTTCCAGCCAGGTTTCCCTCCCTCCGTGCCATACATGTACAGCTGGCAGCGTGGGATCCCGTATTTATCATTTCTTAGCTTTTATTTCATACATGTCCAAGTGCTCGGTGAAGAATGTTGGTACCAGTGTCAGGGATCTATTTTTTGTGTTTAATTTGGATTGCTCTTTTCTTTCCTTCAAACTCAATCTGGTATTTAAGAAGGGAGATCTCTCTTCCCTTTTCTCTTTTTGAGACATTACCACCATTAAGTGGTGGCAGCAAAATTTGGTCCTTGGTGACATTTGCATAGCTTCTTTCCTCCAAAGCATGCTTTAGTGAAACCTGGGCCAAGCCATTTCCCCTCAGAGCGTTTGCTCGAGCGAGACTGATTGGAGTTGAATGAAAGCTTAGCTGAGGCGGCACAGAGGGACCTGCAGCCTGCTGACGGCTCCTCTCCGCTCTCTTTTCTTTGTGGTACTGACTGCAGCAGGAGTCCATCCAGCCTTCACCTGATCCTCCATTCAGTTAGGGCAGATTTACCCTGCAGTAAGTCCACTGAAGCCACCAACATTATTCCAGACTTACACCAGAGTGAATGCAAGGAAGATCAGTTTTCTCCTATTTTTTCCCCTGCCTCTGGATAAATACCAGAAAGGTATTTGCTCAGTTAAGCGGTGCTCTTTTTGAATAGTCAGAATTTGAAGTACACTTCTGTGTTGGTAATGTTCTTGATTTCATGAGGTTGAATAAAAGTAATAGGTACTAATACTCTTTTTTTCCTGATTGTATCTTGCATTCCCTATAGTTTATTAGAAATATAAGCAAACGGTTAAAATAATAACTGTAGAGCAATTGCTTCAGAAGTACCTATTAAAAAACCCCAGCTCATTATGGGAACTGTCACAGGGAAATAATTGCCATAAAACCATCTTGATGCCATTAGCAAGCCGTAGGTATTCTCCCTATGAACAAGTAACCGTCTTCCCACACATTTAGTATAGCTAGCTTAATGAGTTTCAACCGGTGCCATTTGTTGGTTCCTAGAGAACATACAGTGAAATCCTATGTCAAAGGACCCCAGTTTATCTTGTTTCAGCACAGCTAGGCCTCTGGCATAAGGCAGACGACCTCCACAGAACAAATTCACTCACCAATAGACAGCCCAAGACAATATATTGTACATGTGGAAAAGAGCCATTTGCGGCTTACTTCCATTTGTAGCTTACTTCCATTTGTGATGGCACAGGACTACAAAAGTCCAAGGCTGTTGTAGATTTGGGATACGAGCTTTCCCTGTGCGGTCTGTTGTCCTGATGGGATTGCCCATTCTGCTGCCTACGTACGAAGGGAAGAATATCCCTACTGGCAATTTAAGGTTCCTTATCAGAGGGAAAATCAGCCGTATTTTGGAGACAAACATACCTGGTGCACCTAATGGGAAGTGAATGACAGAATACCCACAAGCTATTGCCACCAACTGGTTCAGAAATAACTTACCCTCTTTGTTTCTGCTTTTCTTCAGGAGGAAGAAACACACAAAGGAAATCTTCAAAGGTGAGTAAAACTTCCAAAAAACCCAGCAAATATTCAGCTGCCAGAGCTATAGCTCTCTGGTGCCCAACCCACAGACCTGGGGCATGGCCATGCCGCCTCCTAAGCAGCCTCCAAGCCAGATTAAATGGATTTACCCAGGGATTAATTTGTCTCAATATGCTTCTGTTCTACTCTGATTAACTTGGACCACATTCAGCTGTGGTGCACGAAGACCAAACTGTGTGGAAGTGCATGAAGCTGCAGCGTACACCGAAGGCTACACCCACCTGAGCGAGTAGTGCAGACCTGTAGACTTTGATAGAGAGAGGAAAACAGTTGGTGCTGAGACCCTGATGTGCCCCTGCATGTCAGGCATATTTTCCTTTGGACTAGTTCTGTTCTGATCCCATGGGCTGAATACCCGCCTAACCCTAGAGCACATTAGTTGTGCTTCTGGAGAGCATCTTCCTGTTCACTTTCATCCCAAAGGAACCCAGCCCATGCTCTCTGAGATTGCCCCCTCATCATAGGAGATCCACTTCCAAACCGCACTCCTGATCCCACCTAACTCCCTAACGTAGATGCACCCTGACGGCAGCTGGTGCTTTTGATTAAAAACTTACAGTGTGGTTTTACTGTATCCTCCAGATCACTCATACATAAAAACCACTGCTTGCTGAATCCTCACCCAGCTTGGGCTACCTCATTGAGCTGACTCTGATAACTACACTCATTTGCATTTTTAAGTAGTCCCATTCAGAAAGGTACAAACTAGCAAAATGCGGGAAACCCAAGAATCCAGCATTATCACATAGCGATTCCCTTTGGGTGAATTTTAGCACGAGCTCAACTCACTAAGCCAGCTCAATGCAACAGCATCTAGGCTGGATGTCCCAGATGCCTACGCACCAGCCGTGCAGCCTGGGCAGCCTCAGAAGTCGGGGTGGACTTGCTGATTTCCCAGCAAGTCAGAAATACTTTGAAAAGTGTGCCTTGTATCGTCACAAACACTCGTTTTCTGTGAATGGTATATTTCTGAAATGCATACTACTACTTCATATTTCAGACATTTGCCAAGCAGTAATCCACGCCAAAGCAGTAAATTAAGAGCCATTAATAAACCATTTGGTACTTTTAATGATGCATCAGGAATGCTTGCGTTTCATAGCTATTTTAAAGATTTAAAAAGGGAACTTTAATGAAAGAGAGGGCTAAAGTGGTTTTATATATAAGCAGATAGTCAAAGTCGGGTTTCCTGAGTTAGTTTGCTGCTGAAAATAAGTCTCTCTGTGAGAGTTTCCAAGCCTATGAGTGACTCTCTCGTGTTCCTTTCTCCAGGGCGATGTCCGTTTCTTCCATGTCAGAATTTCAGCGCCTGATGGATATTTCTCCATTTCTACCAGAAAAAAACTTGCCTTCATCCAGCAGCAAAGACGACATAACCCCTCCCCTGTCCCCTGATGACCTGAAATACATTGAGGAGTTCAACAAAAACTGGGATTACAGTAACACTAGGAACCACGGTGGGGCCACCGAGAAGCCTGCAGAAGGCTGGGCAGAAAGGACAGAAATTGGGAAAGCCGGGAATGATCCTCCTTCAGATCCCTTCCAGGCATCGTCATGGTACCTCACCACCAGTGTCACTATGACAACTAACACCATGACCAGCCCGGAGCACTGCCAGAAGCAGCCAACGAGGAGTCACGGTGCAACCGAAAAATTGGGAGTTCGGGTCTTTCACAGCCCACCGGTTGTCCGTAGGTTTGATAACTCAGTGATAGCTGGCAGCGAAGGGAAAAGCCAGGTTGAGCCGGACTTCCTGTTTTCTGTGACCAAAGCTATGGGGAACGTCGCTGAGACAAAAGGTGCTGCCTCGGATATGTTTGGAAGATGGTCTTGTGACCTGGCCAAACATCATAAGGATTTTCTGGAGAGCGGTCTTCATCCCATTGAACGTCCTATTTGCACTACTGTGGGCTTTGCCTCACCCTTGCACAGCTTGGAGATGTCCAAAAACATGAGTGATGATATGAAGGAGGTTGCTTTCTCTGTTCGGAACGCAATACGCTCTAACTCTAATTCAACAGAGCCTCAGTTTAAGGACACCGCGTGTCAAACCAATGGTATGAGGACGACGGGGACGCAGACCACCCAGACGATCAGTGTTGGCCTGCAGACGGAAACCCTGCGCAGTATCACCAGCAGTCCGCACAAGTGTCTGACACCAAAGGGGGGGTCCACGCCTGTCTCTTCACCATCCAGAAGCCTAAGAAGCAGGCAAGTGACTCCCGTCATTGAAAAGGTCCAGGCTAAGTTTGAACGCACATGCTGCTCCCCCAAATACGGCTCTCCAAAGTTGCAAAGAAAAATCCTTCCCAAATCAGACCAGCCAAATAACCGGACTTTGCCTGGCACACCTCAGAAAGGCTTCAGTGAGTCCGCTTGGGCTAGATCAACTACTACAAGGGAGAGTCCTGTCCACACCACTATCAATGACGGCCTCTCCAGTTTGTTCAACATTATTGACCATAGCCCCATCTTTCATGAGACCTTCCAAAAATGCCCCAGGTCTAGCAGCCGGTCCAGGTCAGCAGAACCCAGACCAGAACTGGGCCCAGTGCAGGAGCCGTCTGCAAATGCCCGTGGCAGATCACCCAGTCCTCTCCGGTTGGGGACAGAGACGCAAAAGGAAGAAGGGACTGAGGTGACAAGCATCAGGCAGGACTTATCTGCTCCTCCAGGGTACACACTTACAGAAAATGCTGCCAGGATCTTGAATAAGAAACTTTTGGAGCATGCCTTAAAGGAAGAGAGAAGGCTACCTTCACACAGCCCACCAAATCTTAGCAATGACAACAGCACAGGAGAAATTGTCAAAGTAGATCCAGGGTCCATAGAGGTAATGAGTTTGTTTGTTTTTCCTCCTATAGCTAAATGCACCCTTCTTTGAAAAAATGCATTATGAGATCTCTTGCAGTCCTAGTGAGTATTTACAATGAATATCCTAGTCCTGTCGTGGTACCACCAGCGAGTCCCGGTCGTGAAACTATTGGATTAGTCACTGAAGAACTCATTAAAGAATTGCGTTTCTATCCTGACGGCTTATCGGGCTTGAAAGCATCAGAAAAGCTTTATCCTTTACAGGATAAAGATGCCTTTACAGGATAAAAAATGGTTCTCCCTTGAATGACTGGGATAAGGCTTTTCTGTCACAGAACACACCAGGTGTTGCAGATGCTCTAGGGACTCTAGGTTTGAGTGAATTTCTCTTTTGTGCTGGATGGAAAGGGAGACTCTTTCGCCTACACATGAATGGGTGTTAACAAGTTTGTGTGAAAAATAGTCTCTACAATACCCTGAACCAAAACTCCAGGGCCTTCAGCGTACCTTTTCTGGATGTATCTGATTAAGTTTGGCTCGGGTCTGTGAATGTGATTAAATGGCATGACATTTGGTAATGACTGTTGCTGCCTCACAAAAATAAGAATAAGAAAAAAAAGGTAGTCAACTAGTCTAAGCACATACCTACTTAGTGTTTAAGAACTCTTTATTGATATTTTGCTGTCAGCGGTGCAACAGTCATCATCTGTCTCAGCAAGGATGCCCAGGTATTGTGGGTCAGTCTCAGGTACAGTGACGTGCTAGGGCAATCAACAGAGAAGGGTTGTAGCCATGGACAAAAGCTTGCAGTTTTCCGTGTCTAAGCCTCCTGTTTCTGGTGAACCTTTGTGCACACGAGAGTGCTGCCCTGAGGAGGCCCGGAGAAGCTGAATCAAGCCCAGCTCTAAGCAGCGTGTGTTGCCTTTCTGGTAGAGCATGGAACTGGCGCCACGGTGCCGGTCGGTGCTGCTCCCCAGGGCCGGAGCCCAACCTCCTCTCTGCCCCGTGCCGCCCCGTTAGCATCCCGATGTGTTGGTGTGGGCCCCGGCCGCAGGGCAGCGGCTCCTCCGCGACCCCTGCGCACCCCAGGCATCCCACCTGGGCCTCGCTGGGCTGACTCCTGCCACTCCTGCCTCAGGCAGCCTCAAGGGAAGGTTCAAACCCCATTTTCTAACTCGGCATTTGGCTTGAAGGATTTTTGAGGACCCGAGCGCTGAGACTTCTGGTCTGCAGTTTGCCTTGCACTAGCAGGTGGTTCTCAATGGACAATCGGTCCCTCTTTTGTAGGTACTGCTCAGAGGACATGATCTTTTCTGCCTAACAGAGGATCCAAAGCTGAGGATATATTCAGATATAAACAGATATAAATAGGGAAGTTTGTACATATAAAAAAGAAAACATATGCACGTTATAAATAACAGTGTATGAAAGTGGGATTTGTGCACAAACCTCGGAGTGAATAAAAGTGGAAAGCAGCCCCATTTATTTGACTCTTTTTAGCTCTCTTTCTGTTGTTGTTCTTAGTTTGAAATACCAGGAATGCATTACCCGTCCTAATTAGAAAGTGTGTTGTAGTCTTACAGGTTCAACTCAGCTTTGCCTTCAAGGCATCCCTGGAAACTCTTGATTTCATCCTGCATCTTTTAAGTGTCTCAGCAGATTTCAAGTATGAGTAAACGGATGCCATCCCACATCATCACAAATGGCTGTTGGTAAAATACAACTAGCATCAGTACCTGAGTTTGGTGCACAGACTGATGTGGGTCAAAGCTGTTTAGCAAAAACTCATTGACCATCAACCTGGCAGAAAATTGCACCTCTCTGTGAATTCTTGGTACCTTTTGCCTAATTTGTTGAGTTCCAAGCCTCAGAGCTGAGACTTGTTTTTCCTTGCAACTCTTATTCGGTTGTTATGACTGTTGTGTAGATGCACAGGTTGTGATCTTTGGGTGGTCCTATCATTTCTCAGGAATGTGCATTGAAAAGGAAGGTGGTGGGCATTCACATGGTAAGCTTAGCTTTTCCAAGGTGAGGTGATGCTCTACAGGATGTACTTAATGGAGCATGGGTTCACTGCTGAAAACAAAACCACAAATAAGTTTAGACTCTGCAGATGCCTTGGGTTATTTACGGATTACACTGACCACACAAATTACGCTTTGTACAAATTCCACTTAGCACATTTTGTACAAAGCCAGACGCAGCAGTTCAGCGAAGGTGACCTTGGAGGAGGCAGGCTGTGCCTGGGGCAGCGTCACCTTGGTGCTGCCCCTGCCACCCGCCCATAGACCCCTGCTCTGCTCCCCCTCACCTGTGGGTTTCTGGCCAAGTGACCTTCTTGACACTGAACACCACCTTGTTTCTGCAGTCATGGGAAGGTGTATTAATGACTTTTAGACTTGCATGGAGCACCTCTTCGTGGCTTTTCTTTAATTTGAGCTTCTGAGTGGTTAAGTTAGGTAATTTCTTTTTATCTTCCTGCTGCAATTTTCAAATCTAGTATATATATATATATATTTACCTACATATGTATGCGTGCCTGTGAGTGTATATGCATACAGAGTAGTAATAATTTTGTATTTTCTAACTTGCCCAGAGGTGCTTGCAAGCAAATTCATATCTACCCAGCACAGCCTACTAGTGTCTTAGCCTGCTAATTCGCTAAACCACTATCTTACTTGCATATCATGGGATTTATTAATATTCGTATTAAAAATGCAGATTAGCACTACCTAACTAGCAATGTAAGAGCTGAATGAACATTTTTTCTTCTATCACTTAGCAAGGGTTTAAATCACAGCAGTTGGCAACAGTCCTGGGCTGGGGGTCAGACTCCGTTCTGGAGACAGCGCTGCGAAGGGACCGTCCGTCCACCCAGACCCACGGAGGAGCGGGCGGCTGCTGCCTCCCCCGGCCGCCCTGCTGCCTCCCCTGCTCGCCGGGGCAGAGCAAGTGCCGCACACTTGGCGCTGAACTCTTCAGCGTGGCAGGGGGAATTTTAAAAAGAAGGGAAGGCGTTGCCAGAATTTAACGGCTTTTGCTTTAGTTTGAGTCTCCCATCCAACGTCGCTGTTAAACAGGAACAAGGGAGAAGGGTGAGGCAAAGGGCTTTCATGAAACCTGAGCAACATAAGGCTGAGCAACATGAGAAACATCAGCAACACAAAATACCAGTCGCTTTTTCACTTGTTAAAGGTTTCCTAAGCAGAAATTCTCTCTTGAAATCAAAGAAAGGGAAAAAAATACAGCTTTATTCCTCTTTCATAGTAGTGTGGTTTTTCCCTAGCCCTAATCAAGGTTGGCAAAGGATAACAGATGTCTTTCTCTGCCGAGTAGAAATGTTTGGTTTGTTTAATGCTGTGTCCACTTCTGAGACCGTGCTAGGATTGTAAAAGGTTGGTTGGTTTGCTTCCTTCCTTTCTAAATCTTTTTCTGCTAGTAGCTTATCTTTTATTTTTGTTTATTGGTTTCCCTGTGATAACAGCGGTAACATGATCTGAATGGCTAGTAACATCTGGGGACTTCTTCCTTGCTGACATGAAATCTTCACTTTAAAAACATAATTGATTAAAACAGTTCTTTCCAACCTACTTGCTTTCTTTTTCTTTTCTGTCTGTTCTGTCCAGAACCAAACTGTCTTATTAACTGCCCCCTGGGGACTCTAACCCTGCCTGCCTCACTGCTGTAAGTCCTTTCTACCTTGTTTCCAGAGCTTTCCGAAAGCGGTCATTTTTGAACGTCTGGGTTAACGGAGGGAAATAAATGACCACAGCTCCAGGGGTATCGGCGCGCACCCAGCATCCCTGGGGGGTCCTTCGTATGCGGCAGTCAGGAAGCGCTCAGGACAGGAGCCCATCTGCCCTCTCCTGCGGCAGCACGGGCTATGGAGAGGTCACAAGTCAAAATTTGTGCTGTTAGCGTTTTTTGTTAAACTTTTAAAAATTGGCAAAATTTAAGACCAATATAAAAGTATGCAAAAATGTTGTGGAAGGATTCGGACTTATAACGATCTTTTTTTTTTTTTTTTTGACAAACGCACAGCACTGCGCAGGGCTTCTGGCTGCCCCGGGGTTGGTCCCCTCCCGCCGTGGCCGCAGCAGGCGATGGAGAGGGCTGGGGAGGGGGCTCCGCACCAGCCCGTGGCTGACGGCCACCTTTGCCCATTAAGCTGTTCCCAGCCCGCGTTTGGCCAGGGGCCGGGGTTGCCGCAGCGGAGGGAGGGAACAAACTGTGCCACTGTCAGCTGTGACCGACAGCTCTGCCTCAGAGCCAGAAATCTCTTTTATTTCTTTATTACTATAGGCATAGCCACAGTGGCTGACAGCCTGGCTTAGGCAATAGCTAGAAACTAAAGCTGAAATCATCTTTCCCATTTTCAATGACCAGGCTAAGAAGTGCTGCCTGTCTACCCACACCCCCAAGCAACCACCAAACTTAATTACCCACAGGACATTAATTTTTGTTAAACATCTCTAGCTATGAGAGCTACATGTGGTAAGTGAGGAAGGGGCTTTCACAAACCATTCCGGACAGTTTCCTTGTCACGGCTGGATTTCCTCAGTGAAAGCCACTCTGCAGCGGGGGATGGCTGGCTCGGGAGCCAGCGCGTTCTGAGATTACGCTGGCAGTCCCTTGTTGGCCCTGGAGCAAGATCCATCGCCAGCGCAGCCGTGCGTAGTGCTGGGCCTGTGCACATCACAGATAAGATGAGCTTAACCTTGCCATTTGGTAAAAGCTGACCAACATCTGCGGATGCTGGAGAGAGGCTTTTGAACTGGGAGGCAGCAGTGGACATAAATTTTGTTATAACCATGCTGACTCCCGTTTAGTGCTATGAAACTAGGATAAAGCAGCCAGAGGCAAGCTAAAGAGATATCATTTTAAGCCGCTCTTTAGAAAGAGGCTAAGACAAA